GAATTGAATGCCCTTCAAAATGATGTGCCACTTGACCCCCCTTTCCATTTGAAATTCTGAGGGTAACATCCACCCCTCCTAGGGGGTTGAACCCCGAGGGTTGAAAATATTCATTCAGAGTGTCCCCCTTGCAAATAAAGTTGACCTGTCTGACCATTTTTTCATATTATGTACTGGAAGGGAGATATTGAGGGTGGGAAGTTTTCAAATTGACACACTGTATATCAAAAAAACTATTAGATATTTCATTCCCACGTCAAACTATTGTACCTCCATTCATTTTTTAGTCAAAAGTATTTAAGTTTTTGTGTACATTCATCTATACATTAATCAAATCATCTCAAAGAACAATCCTTTCAGTCCAGTCTCAAATTAACTACACTGTAGGTTAATGGACTGACACCTATCAGAAAACAACTGTCCCCTGGCTAATACCACGAAGGGTGTTGGATTGTATCCGACAGGTGTCAGTACAAGTTAGTACAAGGTAGTATCTGTCATCAACATGAAGTCCGTGACTTTCCATAAGCGAACAACACACAGCATGTTTGTTAACGCCCCTTCTGCACGTGAACGAGGTAAGCGACCGCATATCCAAAATTTGCTCAATTCCTCGTATAAGAAAGAAAACTTCACGAAATGCAAGTGTGTTCAAATAATTGAAAATCGATTCCAGCTGTTGCATCGTCAACGGCATGTGCAGAAATAACTTCAGTGAAGAATCCTGCACTGACACCTGTCGGATATAATTCAACGCTCTTCGTGGTATCAGCCAGGGGAGTAGTTGTTTTATGATAGCTGTCAGTTTATCAAACTACAGTGTAGGTAATTTGAGACTGGCCTGAACGAATGGTTCTTTTAGAAGATTTGATTTACAGCCAGACTTCATGTATGCACACTCATTTTATGTACATATATGTACACAACTCATAATTAATGCAGTGACGTCAATCATTTTTTAGTCAAGGGTATATGTAAACGGTGCAAAGTTATCTAGCGGAATGTAGTAAAAGGAAAGGATAATCCCATGGCATGAGAAATATACGTATGTCTTAGAACAGATAAGTAATAAATAAGTTGAATATCAAAAAATTGGGAAATTCATGGAATCGTATTCAGAGGAAAGTTATTATTATTGATTACAACCTACTTTATATATATATTATTTTCATTCGTCATTAGCTCTATTAGAGATTACGGTTATTTGTGATCATTAGTAAATATGGACGAAAAAAATAAAAGTAGACATTTTGTCATAAGTATACCATTTTTTCATTTCAGATAATATACTTACTCAGATCTTTGATGGGTTTGAACTATAATGAATATGTTGTCGACTCCGACAGCCAATACCAGGAACGGAATAACTTCAATAGTTATCATAGTTGTTGTTATACCAAAATATGCACAAAGACCTACTGAACAAATCACAGAGACGAATACTATCACAATTCCTCCAAAGGCAAGGGATATCCTCGATTCAAACTGAAACAAAAAATTATGAAAGAATTTATTGAATAATATTCAATACAGAAAAACAATGGAATATTGAATCTGTAGAGAATATGAGAATATGAATTTTTGGAAACCCAATTTTTTCAAGAAATCCGTCAGTTTGTTCGAAATATGTGTTTTATCTTCTGTTTGTACTTCTACTTTTAGCCAAAATAAGTTTTACTTGTGAAATTGCCATTTTATTATATTACTCTACAGCATGAAAATGTAGTTTATAACATCTTCAGAAGTTGGCACAAGAAAAAATTCTGAAAACTGTTTTTATTGTTTTTTCGAATTTTTTTTATTTTACCCTTCGCAAGAAACAGTTTTGCAGCTGAATAAACATATTGGTACTGAAGAGCCCAGAGGCAAGTGTCTTACGGCGAAACATCGGTGTCTACCAGTGAGGATGACAGTGTTCCATGTAAGTGCAATTTGTTACCATTCATTTAAAGCACCACTCATGTGAATGATATCTGATTTTATTTCATAACGGATGTTTGGAATAGAAACTGAGTAGAGAAAAGTATCTTCTGTATAATTCAGTGTTCATTCAAAAGTATTTGTTTCGAAAGATTTTTTTTTCTTTCGTGTAATTCAATGTTTATATGAAAGTAGCTGTTTCAGGAAGGCTTTCTTCCAGGTTGTGTCTGAGAGTTGCTTCTTTGCATGATCTACACATCCATGTATAGAGTTACTTATTTTAAAATTAATTACTTCCTTTCTCTGGAAGATTCCCACATTTTTTTGTATCAAGATGGAGTAGTAGAAAGCCAAAAACTTTCTTTCCAAAAAATGATTTTTGTGTTCAAATTAAATGATACATATCGATATTTGTCAAGAATGACATGAAATTTTCAATATTTTAAGTGTCACTGAGAGTTTCTCGTAGTTCTTTCGGTATTCCGAATTCTATTCTTGCTTCCTGATACTTGGGACAAATTTGAAGAACGTGTTTCACAGTTACCGCTATATCACACATATCACAGATAGTTTGTTCCTCGTGTGATAAAAGAAAAACGTGCGAAAATTTGGTATGTCCAATACGAAGTCGATAAAGGATTACCTGACGTTTTCTGGTGGGTGTGTATAGGCTTTAACGGATGGCTTTATTTCGTTTAGTTTCGAATTCGTCTGGAGCTATTTCCTCTGCCACTCGTTTATTATCATATTTTTGATGTATCTTTTCGTATCAGACGGAGTTATTTTGGTGATTATCCTTGGCCTATGATCGTCTATCGCTATAGAGGAAAAAATATTGTCCACCGTAGACATGCCTGTATTCTTGTGTAATCGAGAATGCATTGATTCAATCCGTAAGAGGCAAATAAATTACGCAGATTACTTGCATTGCCATCAGTGGAATTCTTATGGAAGTTGAAATTGAAATCACCACAAACGATACAAGAGGTTTGAAAATTTTTTTCAAAAAGAGAATCAAGAACTAGTTCCATACTATGTATGAATGATATACTATTGGAAGATGGAAGTCTGTAAAAACAGTTAACGCGGATTTTGGAGTTGTGAGCGGTTATTTCGACACTAGCATATTCAAACACACCCTGAGATTTTTCGACGGTAGTGTGTAATCGTGAATATTTTTAACAAAGAAAGCTACCCCTCCACCAAAAATAATCGGAAAAGTATAACAATCGACATTGACAGCTAATATTTCATTTTCTCGACACCAAGTTTCTGGTAAACAAACTACATCCGGACATTCAAGAGACTGTAATAAGGAATCAAGTTCACTTATTTTTAAACTATAAATGTTCAGTTGGAAGATTAAAAAAAACGGCGATTTTTGAATTGGTTCATGAGGAATGAGAGAGTTTTCACGAAAAAAACAAAAATTCTTTTACCACGACGTTTTCTGGCCACCTATCACTCTTCAACAGTAACTGCTTACGAGATTTGGAAATACCCAATTTGAACGCACTGTTTTTCCCTTTGGTGTTCAACTTGTAACACTTGATATTTTGATCCTGAAATGATTCCTTCAGAAAAGACTGCATCACTTCATTATCAACCAGTCCTTTGATTTTTCCAACATAAAGCAATTCTAACTCAGCTTCATTTGGAACGCCTTGTATCATCAGGTTAGTTTTCTTATTGGATCCAGTAATTAGAATTTTGGGATTATTACCTGGCTAATTATTAGCGGATGACTGGGGAACTAAGTCATTGGCCTTGACTTTTTTCGCAGTTTTTTTTGATATCGGACTTTGGATATGGCTCGGATAGAAAAGAAGCACTTCGTTTTTGTTCCGACTTGATGCTTGGTTTGCGCATTTTTTTGTCCGATTCAATAGGAGCATTGATGATCTGATTATTGGCAAAATGATTATAATCAACTATTTGCTTTTTCAGTAGGAAAATAATTTCTTCTGGGTCGTGTAGTCTTTTGGTCATTTGTTCAGAGAGTGTTTCTAATAGATTTACTTCGCGATCGACTTGTTGAAGTTTACTCGCGGTAAATAGTCATTCCAATTTCGAACAATGTACGGATGATTCATTATCAAAGTCTAAGTTTTCACTTGAGTTAATACCACTCGATAGATTAATAAGGAGATTCTGTAAAATAATATTATCAGAATAACTATCTGGTAAAACTCTCGTCACTATGAGATCAATTATTTCGCTTTTCTTTAATTCATTAAGTTCAGCTGCTAGCACACCCTGCTCGATTGGCGACATTTTCACATTAACAGGAACGGGAACTGGGAAGCTCGTGCTCCTGATCCGATATTGAAGGGAACAGTTAGAGTCGTATGGTCTACCTCCATCTCGTGTGTATTCTCGGGGTGGGATCCTTTGGTTGCTTTAGGGTTCATAAAAGGTTCCATGAATATCTGAGGAAACGAGGTCCATCATGGCAGAGTCCTACATTACTGCGACAAAGCTTTCTACGACGAGAGGACGCCCTTTAGACGAAGCCATTGTTGGGATGCAATTCAGAGTAACATCATCACGAATGATCCCGTTATTTCCATATATAGTGGAGCTACGAGAAAGCAGACATCCGATAGCGAAATTTGCTCACCGTGCCACAACTCACGATAACATACATGCATAAAACAGCAAGCGGCGGTTCAAGCAGTGAAACAATGAACAAAGACGACCAACACACTTTTCGTAGATGCCGTTTGAAGATCTATTTTCCACGTTTCATTTACCGAAAATATAATCAGTCTATGTTAATTCTATCATTACGGGTGATAAGTACAATTGAATAAAATCGATTTCGAATCAACACCCCCCTGAACTGATGCTTCATTGAACATGGTATTATGGGAGGATTTTTCATTCAAGTCTTTATGTTGATATAGAATTGAGAATTAATTTGAAACATTTTATTTATAAACAAACAATTCTGTTTTCGGGAAAAAATTAAATTTTGTAATTTTTGTTAAAATATCTATTCGGCAAGTTGAAATACATGTGCAAAACAATGCATATTTCAAGCATTATTTCTCTCAAATAAAATAATGAATTGATCTATAATATGTTCTCAAATTTCCATGTTGCTACATAATTAAAGACAGATTGTACTATACAGTGCTTTTCTTCAATGTCCCCCCTTTGATTTTTTTAACGAGTCAACTCAAAAAATTTAAATTTGGGATATTGAAATCAATGCATGAATACTTTATATTGAAGTGAAATTGACAGATTAAACTTTCAAGATGACGACTGGGCGCCATTTAAAAAAAATATATGAATAGAGGGGTCTTGTGACACATCTTTTTGAAGCTCCTAACAAATGCTCAACAACCCTAGAATATAATGTCAATATCTTCAACTACTATAAAATGCCTGAATACATTGACATTTAACTACATAATATGAGGTGATAACCTTGAAGTCAGTTCAGAAGATGCTCGAAATAGTTGCCTTGAACTTCTTGAGATATGAACAGCCTATTCGATATTTCACGCCGAACATTTTCGAACACATTAACGTCAATATCTCTACAAATATTTATTATTCTCTGCTGTATATCCAATATTAGAGCAGGTTCAGTTTATGGGGCTTCAAATAGTCACATAAAAAAAGTCCAAAGGTGTCAAATTTGGACCTCGACACCCAATCCAACGACCGGGAAAAGTAGTATCCATCTAGTTTCTTACTTGTCTGGAGTAATGACGTGGTGCTCCATCTTGTTGAAATACAATATCCATATCGAATTCATTGGGATTCGCTTCGATGATTTCAGTGATGAGAGGGTCAACAGCATATTCAAGCATATCCAGCATATTCAAATACAGATCCCCTGTTGAATTTTGATCAATAAATAGAGGTCCTACAATGTGGTTTTCCAGTATTTCTGCCCAAACGTTAATTTTTTCTGGATATTGGGTATGTGTTTCCCAGAAAACGTGAGGGTTGGTGTCACTCCAATAATGTCAATTTTGCCTGTGAACATTGCCGTTTGAAAAAATATACATTCGTCAGTAAAACGAATATTATGGAGACAGTTAGGATGTCTTGCAATGGTTTCTGTTTTTTGATTAGGGTCATCTCCAGTTAATTGGTGTACCATTTCAATTTTGTATGGATGATACCTATTCCTCATCAAAGGTCTCCACATAGTAGAAGGAGACACCTCACAAACTTTCGCGATGGAATAAGTAGACTGTTCAGGATTTACTACCATCTCACCAATTATTTGCACTTGCTGTTCTTCCGGAATGGACGGATGATCTGGGGGCTTTTTGATATGTACAGTACCGGTAGTTGTGAATTTGGATACAATTTCCCCCAAATATTTTCTACAGATAGGACGATTCAAAAAACGTTGATTGAAAATCCTTTCGATCTCGTGATAGTTACGCGTCGCACCGTAAACAAAAATCGCTTCAACTTTTTTTCCAATGGACGAGAATTGACCATTTTATAGATTGTTGACGTGGTACCTTTCTACTAATAAAACCGAAAACTAAATGAGAATATTCTAACTGAACAATGATGTTCATTGTTGTACTGACATTTTTTGTTATTTTTATAACGAAAAAATAACTTAACAAACTTTATCGGGTTGTTGGAATTGCCATATGGCAGATAAAAAGGAATATTTCTAGAAATAACGATATTAATGTTTTTGTCTTCAGGAGATTATTAAATATTCTGCCATTTCGTAGTCGGTGAAGATATTTACTTTACATTTTAGGGTTGTGAAATATTCGTCAAGAGCTTCAAAATGATGTGTCACAAGACCACCCTTTCCATTAATTTTTTTTTCCCAGATACCCAGTCGCCATCTTGAAAGTTTCATCTGCCAATTTCACCTCATAATAAAGTATTCATGCATTAATTCAATTATCCCAAATTAAAATTTTTTTAGTTGATCCAATCAAGAAATAAAAGGGGGGGAAGCATTAAAGATATGCACTGTATACCCTGCCAGGAAGAGTCCAATGATCTGTCTGTCATGTACTTATATCATTTCTCAAATATAATATCTATGATATTCAAATGAACCAATGGGTTTCCTACCATGAAATGTCTGCAGCTCGTTATATTTCCCAGTGACAAAGTTATATAAATGAACATTGCTGAATAGCTGACAGCGACTGTCCACGCAGTGGATTTCGAAAGTTCTGCAATTTCATCCTCAATGGATCTTTCGGCATTGAAGGCAATGTCCATGAAATCTGGTCGTTCTTCGACATCATATTCTTTCAATAAGGATATAAATCTGAAACGATAGATACATTTACTCATACGAAAGGATACATAAATAAATACATGAATCGATATCTCAACTTTCCTTTTTGTTTTGATTTCATCTCGAATTACATATCTTTCAGTAAGTTTCCATACTTCAGAAGCGGTAAGTTAGGTAGGTATCTCACAGGGTAAAATGGAAGGGAACATGCGAACCTTCATTCGTACATCAGAAACTAACATTTACATCAATGTACAGTATTCATAATTTATAGGAACTAAGTGAATTATCAAAGAAACGACATAAGATGTGGTAGTCGATAAATTGATATGAACCTCTCTATTAGTCTAGTCATTTTAGGCATTTCAAACCCCAATCTGTGGAAAAATTCCTAGTGAGCTGAATTTTTGCATACACCTTTATTACGGCGATGTTATGAAGATGTAGAAAATTGACATTGATATCGTGCCAGCTAAAAAAGTTATGATAGTCAAAAGGTCACGAAAATCATTTTTTCGCGAATATCTCGCGAGGTATTGCTTGGAGGTGAATGGTCACAATACAAATTGTTCGTTTTGAAATTATCAAGAAAAAGAAAGCGACTAGAATGAACTCACATTCGGTATTGTATACCGTACATCAAGGCGTAAACTCAGTTTATTGCTTTTAATTCATGTTTCAGAACTTCTATCTGATACTTGAGTGTTTAGTGAAAAATATATTTATATTATAGAGGTTTTCAAACTTAGTAAAATGTACTATACAGGGTGTAACATAAATACGTTAAAATATTCAAGTGACGTATTCCTGAGACAGTTTTGAAAAAAAAAGTCTATATGAACTTGTGTCCGAAAATGTTTTGTTTCGGAGATACGGGGTGTTGGAATTAAATTTTTTTATTCACTTTTTGAAAATAACTCTTGCAGAAAATAAGTTATTTGCACGAAATTCGGTAACCGGGGTTTTTTTGACGTGGGAAATCATAATTTCGTATTAATTCTCATGTAACATCTAGAGGGCGCTGCATGCGCTGTTATTATTTATTTAAAATTGCCCTAACTTGTTTGACAGTAAACTTTTGGTACTTTTCATGGAAAAACCTAATTCCCACACCTTTTCCAAGTGAAAGAGGTACACCTCCTCAACAACGCTGGAGGTGATCGTTTTCGAGATATTTACAAATTTCATTGTACATCCTCCCGATGAGTTGTCCTCCTAGGTTCATCCTGTTTTTTCCAGGAAGGTGGACAGGTCTCTGGGAGACAGCTCCTTTATATCCGCAGGTGTAGGCCAAGACTCGCCGAACACACACTCTCTTATTGACGATAACTCCGGACACTCGCATAGGACATGCCTGAGAGTCTTATCTTCCTGTTCACACATCATGCATAGAAGTGTGTCCTCTAGCCCCATATTATGGAGGTGTTTCCTTAGTTGACAGTGGCCGGTCAGAAATCCTACTGTTAAACGTAGATTTTTTCCTGGTCATCACCAGATATTTCTTTGGCGCCAGCTTGCCAGGGTCGCCTAGGGTGATCCTGGCAAGATTGCATCCTCTGATTCCATTCCATCTTTCTAGGGACTCAGCATGGGTATAACATTTGGCTAGTTCCGCAATTGTCGAAGTCATCAGGCCGTAGGTGCCACTGGGTCCTGAAATTCTCATTCCAGTCGCTTCCTTGGCTGAAGAGTCAGCATTGCGATTACATTCACTCCTGTGCCCTTTAATCCACCTTGGGATATTGTTATTATCTACCGAGGCTTTGGTTAAATTTTGGTGGCACTCTAGTACTAGCCCTGAGGTAACACGTGGTCTGTTCAAGGCTAATGTGGCTTATCTGCTATCAGTGCAGATTGTTATGTTTTTGCCAGAAATTCCTTTCCTGATTAATTCTTTTGTGGCGATTGAGATACCAGCCTCCTCTTTTTTAAGAATCTGTTTTCAAATTTGGGATATCTTTAATATTTTGTGAGTTATTTTCAAAAAACCACACCCCCCTTTTCTTTACCAAATTGTTTATAACTTTTGCAATTTTCAAAAAGTTGCTAGAAGTCATTCCGAATCGAATGATCCCTTGATCATAATTTTTGGTGCCCCTGGACAAAAGTTCCAAAGAAAGGATCTTGTGACCCAGACTATTAGTAGTTTCATGTTCCTAAACAGTTTTCATAATGGGTGATACATGTTCTATATGCAATGAATTGTTACCGGATAATGATGTAGTAGAAGTCAGGTGTGGTCTACAAACATCAAAATGCTAGTTTCGCTAGGTGATGGTAACATTAAATATTTGAATACTGTGATTTTTGTGAATATTCATGGTTATTGTCGTGAAAATTATACAAACAATTTGTGTATTGCGGCGTTTAAACGACGCCAAGAAGAACCGAGTACATCAAAATATCCGCGTAAAATTTAAAAAAATTATGTTCATTTCGTGGAAAAGAAATGACTGAAAAGAAAAAAAAATAGACGCGTTATGAGAGAAGTATTTAGTAAAAGACATAGTATTTAAAGCTGCGGTGATCAATATGAAAGAAGTGTAAATGAGCGTGTGAATTTTGAGTATGACTTAGTATCTGTCGAAGTTAGGTATCATGATAAATGTTTGTCCAATGTTTTGTTAGTAATATAAGTGGAAAGGGTGACGCAGGCCGTTAAATCGGTGGAATTCCAGGGAAGTCTCCGCAAGAAGTGGAGACACATGTATATCAGTATATCTCCAGAAGGAATTTTACCTTTTTTCCCACTCCATAGTGTCGGTTAGCTCATTTTTATCCGCTTTATTTGAAGTTATGAAAGTAAGCGTCACACCAACGGCATCGAAATATTCCTTTTCGTGGGAGGCTCCCCCTAACGCTAGTCCTGGCAGAATTGGACCTCCATACGGGGCTAAACAATTCATGCTATAGGGTGATCTGGAATCGAAATCTCATTTGATCATATAAGTAAGTGATTTTACTAGATACTTTTCAAAAAAATAAGGTGAATGTTCAAATTTTGCGACCTACGTACATTCTATTATCAAATTTTCCATTTTTTTATGTTGGCACAAACGTTTCGAATATATGTTCACAGTTTCTGTTGTTCAAATTGTTGGTGGAAGGCATAAAAGTTAGAAGTGTTTTTCGTGTTCGGTGAATTTCAGCTATCGAAAAAAATGAATCAAAGAATTTGTATCAAATTTTGTGTAAAAAATGAATTCAAGTGTTCAAAAACACTGGAAATGTTGACAGTGGCTTACGGTGATTGTACTCTGAGCCAGAAAAATGTTTACAAGTGATACAAGCTTTTCACGAAGGGTCGAGAAGATTTGAATGACGACGCTCGCCCTAGAAGCCCTAGACGCCCCAGCACATCAACAACCGATGAAAATATTGGGAATGTGAAGTAGGTCACTTAGGCCACTTAGGCCACTTAGGCCACATGTGACCCATCGTACAACCTACCAAGGAGATGTCCTCCTAGGTCAACGTCCATCCTGCCTTTCCAGGAAGGTGGACAGGTCACTAGGATACATCTCCTTAATATTCGCAGGTGTAGGTCAAGACTCGCCTAACTCACACTCTCTTATTGACGATAACTCTGAACACTCGCAAACGACATGCCTGACAGTTTCATCTTCCTTTTCATACATTCTATATAGAGCTGTGTCCACTAGCCCCATATTATGGAGGTGTTTTCTCAGTTGACAGTGGCCAGTCAGAAATCCTACTTTTAAGCGTAGAGTTTTCCTGGTCATCGCCAGATATTTCTTCGGCGCCAGCTCCTCATGGTCGCTCAGATTGATCCTGGAAAAATGGCATCTTTGATACCATCCCATCCAATCTTTAGGGATTGATTCCGTGTTAGGAATCACACCTTTAAAGGTAAGACCTCGTTAGTCCTTAGCTCGCACAAGTTTCTCAACTTCTGAGAGTTGTCGTTCGTATGGAGGCGACAGCTGATTAACGGAAAAACAGATTTTTAACAGATTGAGCATGGGTGTGACGTTTGGCTAGTTCAGCAATTCTCGAAGTCATCAGGCCGTAGGTGTCACTGGGTCCTAAAATTCTCAGTCCAGCCGCTTCCTTGGCTAAAGAGTCAGCAATGCGATTACCTTTACTGCCGTCGTGCCCTTTAACCCACCTCAGGATACTGTTATTATCTACCGAGGCTTTGGCTAAATCTTGGTGGCACTCTAGCACTAGCACTGAGGTAACCGTTGTCTGTTCAAGGCTTATAGGGCTTTTTGCTAGAAATTCCTTTCCTGGTCATTTTTTTTTGTGGCGATTGAGGTACCGGTTCTGTTTGAATGACGCTAGTATTTTTTACATTCCCCCCTTAATCTTTAGACTTACTGATCTGCAGTACACTTCACATCCTGAGGCTTCTTTCGTTTTTGAGCCGACTGTGTATATGCGTATTGCATAAACCTGGGTTCAATTGCATCACTGGCTGCCTGTAGCAGAGGTTGCGCAGTAAGCGCTTCTCGCCATAGGATCAGCCTCAATTGACCCATTCCTACTTCGAGGTTCACACCAGCTGTGCGCAATCGTAACATGGCCATTAACGCAACCTCCTTAACGTACAGGTCCAGAGGTGTCTTACCAGTAATTAATTCCATTGTTGTTCTCATGGGTATATGGTTATGACATCGAAACCAAAGTCCTTTTGTGAGAGCCCAGGGGAGCCGAGACCAAATAGAGCACGCCAAGATTTATCAAATGCTCATCTTCGATTACCGTGACGTAGTGCATCAGGAGTTCTTGCTACGTACGTTCACAAAGGAGTATTATCTTGAAGTTATGCGCCGTTTTCTGGAAGCAATACGAAGAAAATGTCCGGTATTGTGGAGAAAGAATTCATAACACGATAATGCACCTGCTCACTTGTCATTGCTTGTTCGTAAATTTTTGGCTCAAAATAACAGCATTATCAAGCCGCAGCCACCGTATTCACCAGATTTGACCCCTTGCAACTTTTTACTGTTCCCAAGATTGAAGAGATCCATGAAAGGACGTCATTTTGCTACGATTGAGGAGATAAATTGAGGATTGGCACAAGTGTATTTGTATATGAGGGGATTACTTTGAAGGGGACAAAATGGAAATTGATGAATGAATGAATTTTTTTGTGAGAAGAATGAAAATTCACCTTATTTTTTAACAGACCTCGTATTTCAGGCATGTTAGTAACAGATTTTTTTCAACATAAAAGTATCAAGTTCGATTTTAATTTCCAGAGGACTGAAAAAATAATTTCCCTATTTTTTCGAAGTCGCGGACTGAAATAACAAAATCCTATTTTATAAATTTGATTGATCTGTCATTTTCATCACGATAATATTCTAAATACATACCGCAAACACTCGATAATAGTCTGATAGGAAGTAGTTATATTGGAATTGAATTTTTCTATGCTGTTTTCGACTAATCCCAGAAGAGAAATAACTGTACAATCATTTATAGATGGTTCATCTGAATAAATTGTTCGTATAGGAGTATAGCAGATACTTTCCAGACCCTTCGTGATTATTGTTCCGTCTGCTTTTGTTGTTTCAAAAGTTATCTGAAATGATCAGAATATTTGTAAAAAATTATCCTGAAGAATTCCAAAGAAATGAACTTTAAACATTCTAGCCAGTCTCAAATATACCTTCACAGTAGGTTGAATGCACTGACGCCTATTAGAAAGCAACTACTCCCCTGGCTAATACCACGAAAGGTGTTGGATTATATCTGACAGGCGTCAGTGCAGGAAACTTCACAGAAAATTTTCTGCATATGCAATTGGCAATGCGAACTTCAATTTTGGAATGGGCACACTTGCAGACCGGTTTCGGGCTAATTTGCCACTCGTCAGTGGAAGATAGTGGCCATCATCGACCTAAAGTCAATGATATTCCATAATTGAAAATCGGAATTCTTTCAGAGTATTTCATTCCTCTTCCTAAGTTGGAGCGAACAACAAAATGTCACTCCATCTAGTGAACGAGGTACTAACCAACTGCGTATGCGAAATTTGCCCGACTCCTCTGAATAAGGAAGAAAAACATTTTTATTAATCAGTGGGCTATGCTTGAAGACTGGCAGTAAACAAATCTAAAGAAATGAACTTTAAACGTTCCTTATACGTGTGTATGGTCTAAGAGGCGTAAATCTCAATTGGTTTGAATCTTATTCATCTCAGCGTAGTCAAATTTTTAAAACGACTAATTATTCTGAGAAAGGAAAAATAAACTGTGGAGTTCCACAAGGCTCAGTCCTAGGTCCACAAATATCTCTTTTGTATATAAATGATCTGACATCTATTAATATTAAATGAGAGTTCACACTATTCGCAGACGACACTACAATATTATGGCATGATCAAAATTCTTCTGAACTTGAAACAGTAATAAATCATGATATTAGCAATATAAAAAGATGGTGTGATGCAAATCTTCTCAGTTTTAGTATCTCTAAAACGAACGTAATTTGCTTCAAATGTTTCATCAGCAATTTACAAATTGACAACATCTTGGTTGAGAATAAACCATCAACCAAATTTCTGGGACTATCTATTGACATTGATTTGAAATCTGAAGACCATATCAAGAGTCCCAAATCAAATTTATCCTCAGGGTCTTATGCTTTGAGGCTGACATCATATGAGTTGGGATTTGCTGCTGCCAAAGAAACATATCACTTTCTCATAGAATCTCGACTACGATATGGAATTCCTTTCTGGGGTGCATTTACTGTGACAACACTGCAATCAATTTTAGTTATACAGAAAATAGCTGTATGTTTTCTGTGTGAAGCAAAACCACGAGATTCTTGCAGACCACTATTTAAGGAAAAGAAAATCCTCACTGTAATATCTATTTTTATTATTGAAACTATATGTCCCATAGCAAAACATCAAAATAAAAAATGCGTCTCTTAATTAACAATCGTTTTTTGTGACTAAATGTCAAAATTAAATTTTTTATATTAACTTTCAATTCAAAAAAGTTATTAATTAACATATGCATAATCGATGTTAAAATTGAGATACGAATTTTTTGACTGCGGATTATTGTTTGTGACGGAATGCGCGCGGAAGCCAGACTACCCGTTTTTTGCTCTATTTTCAGGGCTCTGTAAAAATTATAAACAATTGAGATACAGTTTCGGCAGTCGGGACTTCTTTTACGCGAATTTATTGATCTTTTCAGTTTTTTTTTCAAAATTCCAAAATTTTGAAAATTCTTCTAGATATTCAGAAAAAAAAACTAAAGCCCAATTTTCTTCACTTAATTGCTTATAAATTTTGTAATTTTTTTCAGCGCTATTTTAGACCTGTCTTCAAACTTTCTAGGTAAAAATACAAATCCAATGACACCTTGGTCGTAATTTTTTGACCCGTGTGTAAAATTTCACAAAAATAAGCAAAAAAAGTACATGTGAACCAGACTATTGTGTTTTGTTCTTGAAGAAAATCATGCTTCTGCCTCCGTATTCGCCATTGTTTCCTGTTCCCAAGATCGAAGAGAACGGTTTTTGCGACGATTGAGAAGATGAAATCCGAATCTCTGAGAGATCTCAAGGCCATACCAAAAAATTCATATCAGAACTGTTTCGAAGATTGAAAAAATTGCCAGCTCAAGTAGGGAAAAAATGAATAAATGAATATTTTTGGAGAAAAATTAAAATTCACCTCGTTTTTTCAACAAACCTCGTACTTAATTTTGTATAATTTGTAAGGACGAGAATAAATCAGGACTATTCTTCAACGAGTAGTGTGCGATTACAAATTGAAACTATTTCAACAACGTATTAGTCTGTAGATAAATCAAATGTTGAATAAAAACACAATACCAGTTATACGTTTCTGCGGATTGGTACTATTTCATAGATACTATTTCATAGACTCAACTATAATTTTGAATTTTGGCTTGAAAGTATGGATCCTTCGAAAAAATCTTTTAATATTCAACTCACATTTTCAATAAGTTTTTGTATCCTGAATACCTCATTCAAAAAAGTCTCATTGAATGCGGGTCCCAAAGTAATTTCTCCGTCGTCCTTTGATTCAAACTGAAACTGAAAAAAATATATTTCAACTTTATTTTCTATGCTTATTCAATTAAATATGTACATATGTAGATACATATAGTACAAAACATACACATTAAAAGACAAAGCATTAAAACTTGCAGTGAAAAAATTCACTTACGTCATAAGCAGGGCAGAGATCAACCAGAACCCTTTTATACTTTTTTTTAATTTAATCATATGTAATTTCCTCATATGTGGTGGTAGATAGTTGAAGAGCCTTATCGCCATAGTAAAAAAGATTTTATAGTCAGTAGTCTTTATTGAATAGAAATAATCCTAATATTCACAATACAAAGTTATAATTCAACAATAAATGATTATTAAGTAAATACTATATCAAAACATGATACAATGAATGAATCCATTTATAACAAAAACATTATTAACAATAAACAAAGTAAGATTGAGATAATACAAATATCAAAACTATACAATAACTGACTCAATTCATCTGAAAATCTATAATACAATATAACTACATTCACAACAATCACAGATATTTTGAGAGTTTTTTTAAACGGTTCAAGTGTATCACATTTTTTAATTTCATTTGGAAGGAAATTATATTCAACTAAACCTCGAATGAATAGTGAGTTCATACCTTTTCTGGTACTAGCTCTATCCACATGAAAATTGTTTGCACTTCCTGTACAGTATTCGTGGACCTCATGATTAAACTTGAAGAATTGTTTGAAATGAGTTGGCATCAAACCTTTGACAATTTTGAAAATGAAGATCATTGCTGAGATAGTCAACCTTTTGGTTACTGATTGCCACTGTAAAGTCTCTAACATATGGGTTATTGGAGTATATCTATTACATTTTAGGAATAACCTCATTCCACGATTTTGAAGTTTTTTTAGAGAAGCTTTTCTGTTATTGTCTAATAGAAATAGTATTGTAGAACAATAGTCAAAATGTGGTTTAATGATACCTACTATTAAAAACTGTCAATATTGCTTTCAACGATATGTGAGCAGCTATTTTTGGTAAGAAAAAGAGTATTTTAGAATTTTTTTTCTGTATTGATATGAAGTGTTCCTCCTTATATGTTGAATTTCCATCCAATACAATCCCAAGATATTTGAATTGTTTTACGATTTCAATTTTTGTATTTTCCATAATTAAAGTTATGTTATCTTCATCTATATTTTTTGTCCTATTGTAATTAGAAATGATCGTAGCTTTTGTTTTTTGTACATTAAGTTTCAACTTATTTCCCTTCAAGTATTTTTCAAGTTTAATTAATTCTTCATTCATTTTTTGAGCAGAGGGCTCCACACAATCACCACTAACTGCCAACAGAGTATCATCTGCCTAGAGATTAATTAATTCACAATTAACAGAGCAGTTGATGTCCAATTACACTACCTTGTGGGACACCTTTATTTATCTGCCTTGTAGTATGAAAATGGTTATTTATTTTCACAATCTGTTTTCTATCACTCAGGTAGCTTTCCAACCATTTCAAAACAGTTGATTCAATTCCACATGTTTTTAATTTCTGCACTAGAATACCTCTATCTATTGTTTCAAATGCTCGTTTCAGATCAATGAACACTGCCACGATATACTTTTCTTCATCCATCAATTGGTTCCAACTAGTAATTGTCGGTTGTAAGAATGTTTCACAAGAAAGTTTACTACGAAAACCTGACTGGTTCCCTAGGAAAATATTGTAAATATTTATGTGTTCAATGAGTTGGTTATATGCTGCTCTTTCAATCACTTTCTCAACATCTAGTAAGGTGTTGATTGGTCTGAAATTCATTGCATCATTTGAATTTTTGATTTTTGGAATTGGTATTATAATGGATGTTTTCAGCTCATTTGGAAATATTCTTGTTGAAAAGGATGCGTTAATAAGATATAATAGGTGAAAACCACAAGTGTCAATGGTATTTTTTATTATTTGACCATTCATAACATCATGTATATTACCTTCATTTTCCAGGGTAGCAATTATATATTTAAGTTCCTTTATACTTATTTTACAAAAGTTTTCAAGGTTAGTTTTTATTTCTGGGAGATGATTGGCGGACCATTCCTTATGATAATTTATGGTATCAATTATATCACCTACAATCGATATGAAATATTCATTGAAACAGTTTGCAATATCATTTTCTGTTTTCGCAATCACTACTCTATCTCTAAATTCAAATTTCATTACTGTATTTGTAAATGCAAGATTTTCATTTCGATTCAACTGTTTTAGCGTTTTCCACATTTGTTTACAATCTCCATAATGGAATCAATCGCATTTTCGTAATAATGTTTTCTCTTCAATCTAAGACTGTTATCTACGTCATTTCTACATATTTTGTAGGTATTCCAAAGATTTTGTATTTCCTCCATGTTTCTACTACACTGTCTAATTTTTTTATAAGCATTATCACAATTTTTTGCCTTTGAATGTATTTCTTTATCGTACCAAGGTAAGCTATTTCTAGTATTTTCAAATGTTTTTACTGGGCAAATTCATTAACAATTTTTTTGTAATTTTTGACATTTTATCAAAAATAGTGTTTACATCGAAGCAATTTGTTGGCCAACTGTAATCAATCAATCTCAAATTTATCATGTGAAAATTATCTCTATTGAATTTTCTGTCCATTTTTGAAACTACATTTACTGGTCTGTTGTTACTTCTAATGTTAATAGTTATTGTATCATGATCAGTGATTTTTGGAAGTTTGTGTACTTTGGCAAAAATATTTGGGTCATTGGTAATTACATAATCGATCAGGGTTTCACTTGTTGGTGTACATCTTGTTGGTTCATTTACGATTTGTTCCAGACCGTATTTTATTATTGTTTCTTGAAATTTATTTCTATAAGAGTTATTTACAAAATATCACCCACAATAACTAAGCGTTGATTTTTTGTGGTAATCTTATCACACATTTCTTCAAAATCATTAATAAATTCTCCATGGTTATCATTTGGAGAATGATATACAACGCCTAGGTTAATTTTGTTATTACCTATCTGTAAATTTGCAAACATACACCAATAGTTATACTCCTCAATAGTTATTTTATGAGTAATTACCAGTCAATGTTGTAGCATAAGAAGATTGTGGCCATTCCTGGTCAAATAGTCATGGTTGTTATTAACTTGAGGGGTGTTATTTTGTGTCTTGATATAGACAAGACATTGAAATATGTATAGAGCCGTACATTTCTGGTAAAGGTAAAACTGGAACCTCTGGCGAAGAATGAATCAAAAAACAAGCACAAGAATATTTCGAAACAGAATTTCGAAATATGTACCGTCACAGCGGGTTCTGAAGAATGCTGTCCGAAACTACTTCCCCGGCTAATTCCTCGCTGGGCATCGAGTTATATCCAACAAACATTTATGCCTCGCAGAGGTTATACTTTCAGATGCTTCTCGTTCATCCTGCAGGAGGAACATGCTGAAATCATTCGAGTTAGTCACCTACAGACGGGTTTCGAGGTACTGCCTCTTATCAGTGCAGGAAAGATCGATCAAAATAACAATGTGCCTGGGACTCGATTGACTTCAACGTGAGTCAAGTACATTATGAAACCTTCGTCTAAGAGAAAAATTGTTAACTGGTAACAGCTCCATCTCGTGAACAAAGACCTAAGCATGGAGAAAAAATCCCATGTACCAATATTATAACAGAGATCAAAATGACCTAGAGAAGGTAATTGATTTTCGACATAATCTACTGTGTAGGTTGGTTTGTTGGGAAAGACGAATGTTTCAAAATTCTATTTGGAAATATTTATCTTCATAGACGTATGTATATCTCCTTGATACAGTCTTCAGACTTCTTCGATTTCTGTTGAGTGTTGGTACATGCTTAGGGCTTTGTCCATGAGATGGAGCTGTTACTAGTTGACGATCTTTCACTTAGACAAAGGTTTCATATATGCAGTCAAGCTGCGTTGAAATCAATCGAGTAATCGAGTCCCAGGCACACTGCTGTTTGGGTCGAATTTTTCCTGCACTGATGAGGAGTTATACCTCGAAATCGGTCTGTAGGTGATCTGCTTGATTGATTTCAATGTGGTCTTGTTGCTGGATGAACGCGAAACATCTGCGACAATTACCTCTGTGAAGAATCTTGCATGAATGTATGTCGGATATAATTGAATATTCGGCGTGGTATTAGCAGTCGAAGTAGTTGTTTTCCGGCAGGCATTTACCAGCACCCACTGCGTAGGTATGTCGGGAGGTATGAATGTGTCGAAATTTCATCTCGAAATATTCATTTTTTTTATCTATGTATCTCTATGATACAGTCTTTAAATTCCTTTTGTCTCCATGAAATAATACATTTTGGAACACTTGTGGTGCCACTTCACGAAATACCTACATTAATATTTCGACACCGCATATCTTCCACTAAATAAGGTAGGGTACGATACACACACATGAAAAATATACAGGAATTCAACATAGGAGTAACATAGGAGACTCAATTGTACCTTCGTTATGAAATATAAAATTATAAAATAATTTATGAACTCGTCGCCATAATTAACAAGACAGGGTATGTCTATCTTCTGAATTTTTTGGCAAGCAACTTCCTGGAGAAATTCATTTTTAATTTTAAGATTGATAGTATAGAATTTTATTCGAAATTAACTCATGTTTGGCATTTTTCATAATCGCAATGATGACATTCAAAGCTCTATATCTTCAAAAGTAAAGTAGCAATATTCAATGCACTTTTCACTAATTCAACTTTCATTCCCCATTTTGACAAATTTGGGGCCTCACTTCCTTACTTAGGTTTCTAGATTAAAGCTTGCCTTCCTTACCAACAAACTTGACATGAATTTCTTTAGTTCAGACTTTCATTGTCTAATATGATATAATATGATTTGAAATCCCTGAAAGAACAAATAAATTGAGAACCGGGAATACTGGTTCAGGAGAAAATTCAAAGAAGCTGCATATATGTTGTCCAACGACGCATTCAGCCAAGCTAGCGTAAAGATACGCAAGATACGCGGAAAACGGTCATCTCCCGTTAAACCGGTAAAGCGGAGAGAGAAAAGAGGGGATAGGTAAAAGTTCTCGAATGACCTACGAATAGTCATCTCTCGGAGAAATAGTCCAGTCATCACCCGAAGACGATTGTGGATGCTAACAATCGAAACATCGTGAAGTAACTTGGATTGAAATCTTTCAATTTTAATTTTCAGTTCATTTTATTTGAACTAAAGAGGTTATATTTTTAGGAGTGAATAATTTTTTGGAAAAGAAAGTTTTTGGCTTTCTACTACTCCATCTTGATATAAAATGAATTGGGAATCTTCCAATGAAAGGAAGTTTTCAATTTGAAAATAAGTAACTCTATACATGGATGTGTAGATCATCCAAAGAAGCAACTTTGGGACACAAACTGGAAGAAAGCCCTCCTGAAACAGTTACTTCCATATAAACATTGAATTACACAAAAGAAAGAAATTCTTTCGAAACAAATACTTTTATATGAACACTGAATTATACAGAAAATACTTTTCTCTACTCGGTTTGAATTCCAAACATTCGTTATGGAATAAAATCAGATATCATTCACAGGAGTTCTACTTTAAATGAATGGTAACAAATCAGAAATGAGCAATTATTACACTGAAGCTTTAAACCCTTATTTATTATATGCGAGCGCTTTCGACAGCTGGTCGTGCTATCACTTTCAAGGCTCTACTCAAACTTTGTTTGATTAGAGCTAGTAGTTAGCCAAATATGTCGTGATAATTTTTAAATAAAGTTTGTGGAGAACAAATCGTAAGGTGTGGTGTATGAACATATATTTCGATTAAATTGAATAAATGTTCACTGACATTACAGTTTAAAGTAAACTCATTAAAACGGGCGAAACTTTCGAAACAACCTAATATTGCAGTTACTGTTGGAAAAATGTTGATTATTAGACTGATAAGTGTCACTTGTGTTATCATATACTTTGTATTGGGCAAAAAGAAGTCTGAAAAATAACAATTATCGAAACTTTGGATGCCTCTGTAACTCTGGAAATGATAAAATGTTCGATTTTTTTTTGTTAGATTCGTAATCTACACTTCGAAATACTTAAGTACACCTATTCGAAATTTCACTAACAAATCCAGCTCTCAGGTTTTCTAGAAATATAATTTGAAATGATTTATAATATTGATGATGGTGATGGCGAGGCGTTGATGATTATATTAGGTTATATTAATAATTATTGTTGTCATAATTATTATAATGATAATAATAAACATACCGGTTCAACTCCTACGGTTTTTATAAAAATTTGATTCGATCTGTAAAATGGTCCGAAGTTATCGTCGAAGAATTTTTTTTCCTGTCGACTTCGACTATCAGGTGAAGCCCATAATTCCACTGGATCAGAAGTCACTTTTAGAAATAGACTGCCCACTGCAAGAAAAACCATCACTACGACGCACATAGCCAAAACTTTGAATCTATTCATCACCACAACTGAAAATAAATAAGAAAAAAGTAATTTCACACATGGTGGCCAGACAACGTGTTTTAATGAATTTCTCAGACATGTCATTTTCACTTGCAATGAGACCGCTAGGTATTCGAATCTTGAAATCTTTAACTTCAATACCCTGAGAAGGTTTAGTTACCTGAACAATTTCAAATAGAGACGGGTTGAATGACACATCAACGGATTAACCAAACCACCCAACATTCTAAAGATCACCTACTTCATGTCGTCATGTCTTTGTTAAATAATGAGTCTGAAGACATACGAGGTAGTTTGTAAGAAGTCGGCTACATATTTAGCCACCGCTATGATCAAAATACACCACGATGTGAAACCACTCCTATTTATCTGCACACATTCTCATTATTAGCACTTCAAAGTTCAGTAGAAATACCATAGAAGTAGAAACCAAGGGAATAAGCACTCAAATCACCAAGTGAAGACTGAGGTATGGTAAACTTATGTTAAGTTAAATCGAAGCGTCTCAGTCGTGATTCAGTATTCGAATAATCCACTTCTTTTGGAAAGGCATTCAACGTTCGGTTTTCGAAATCAAAATGTTTCTGTGCATTGTTTTAATGTGTTTTATTGATGACAAGAAAATGAAAATTTTCAGTACTCACATTGCGCACAATAAATTGCAAAAATGAAAAATTTTACGTTTGAATCAGCAAAATATTCTTTCGTAGACTATTATTTTCATAAAAATTAATTTCACATGGAACAAGAGTTTCAATGAAAGTTTTTTGTAATAGGTTTATGTATCAGATATTTCTTTCCAATATGTGAAATATAACCACAAACATGCGGATTCGTTTTCCGATGACATTTCAGGTTAGCCTCCCAAATTTCTGCCACCGCAGTTGTCGGTTGATTGGTCAAACCACCAACACTGACATAAAAACTTGGCAAGTTGACTTGGGTGTCACACCAATAGGTTACATAATTCAACTTGAAAAATGGTTTCCATTTTTACTTGGCGAAACACTTAGATTTATGATGGATTCAGTTGATGATGAACGTATCCAATAACAACACTTTGTGGTTGAAACATGAACCATGATTCTGCTAGGCAAATACATTTTCTACTCACCTCTACCTAAAACGTAAAATGCGTCTTCCAAATTTTGATGGACTTTGTCTCCATATTTTTTTATTATTCTTGTACACGAACCTGAAAAAGAAAGAAGGTTGATTTCATAATATATGGGAAAAAATATTATGTGATTGCAAAAGGAATATAATATGTATAGTCGTGTAAACAAAGAATGGAACAAATTCCACTGTTTCGCTTTATATTTTGAGTTCAATCAGGTTAATATCCACCTTTCTAAAATTTTTCTCTTAGAATAAAATTAATGATTGAAACATTTTTTATATACAGTGTGACACACTTAAGATGAAGACACCCTTGTGTTTTAGTCATTTTTGAAAGCACAGTTATAATTTTTGGTAAAGGTGTAGACCTTTAGAGGCCGCACTTTTCGCAATACTTAGCCTGAGTGACAGCCTACTATGATCCTGAGAAAAGGGCAAATTCTCGATGTTTTGCTTCGCGTTCGAGATTCCGAAATGAGTTTTTTATAAAAGTTGCTTGGAAATAGATTTTCATGAAATGAAATAAATGTATTGAAATAACTAAAATTGAAAATTATTGTTTTATCAAGTGTTTACCTCATTTCCTGTTCGCTTCATTTAATTTCGAACGATGTCTATGTGACTTTTTAGTAACTAATAATCAAAATTTAATTTTTATTCACAATGAATATTGGGTTTTTTATTCTCATTCCTACATTGAAATGATTCCTAAGTAACATTTTACAATAATTTATTTCGGTATCATCAACGCAAAGCAACGAGAATTTGTCCTTTTCGCAGGAAAAGTGCGGCCCATGAAGGTCATTACAATACGGTTGAAAAATTGTTTGCATCATGGATCATTTCTTCTGAAAATTAGAAATGAAAATCTCAGGTGGATAATGAAGATCTGTAAATAGATGTTCTTGGATATTTTTATGCTCATTCGAATACGTCTTTGAAAGATTGTGACAAAAACCTACCGCTCTTTTATGAAACACTTACAATAAACATTTTTCTATTGATGATTCATTCATCTGAAATCCTATCTCCAGTAATAACCATTATATAGGATATGTTTCATGAGAATGAGTCAAAATTCAGTCAGAATTCCGAAACTATCCTAAAATACAGGGTGTTCTATGTGAAAAAAGGGTTTTTTGCCCATTTTTATATCTTCAGAAATAGTCATCGATTCCGAAGACCTTGTATAATATTTTGCAAATGTTACTTCTACAAGAACATGGAATGAAGTATTTTGATGAATCGATAATAGCTCATTTACGTATTGAATAAAATTTTTGATTTTTATGTGGGAATACCTCGAGAACCGAATAGCCAGTTTTTTGAGTAAATAAATAAATATTTCGAGAACGGTTCATTTTTGGTATAGGATGTATGGCATGAACTCTCATTAGCACTATGCCAGGTATTCAAAAATGTGGAAACATACAGTGTGTTACATTTGAATTATGGAAGTTGGTATAAACTTACGGTATAATCGAGGGATTGGAGAAACTCCATCATTTCCAGTCAATTAAGTATATTAAAGAAACCTATATTTGGCAATTTTCAGGATATGGATCCTATTATTTTCCAAAATATAGCTAACCGACGGTCATTACGCTGTTACCTGTATATAGATATATATCAAAATACGTTGATAGATAGATTTGTTTGACTGTTTTACAATAAGTTCACAGCATGTCATACATAGAAAAAAGTCATAGAGAGACGTATTCCTTTCAGATTTGAAAGGACATTATAATATAACATAACGTACACATTGAAATATCTTCACACATATGAACATATAAGTGAATGATTATTGCTTAATATATCAATAGGTCATCAACTGTTTGAAATTCTTCAATAGGTATAATAAAAACAATGATCTAAAAGTATATATCTAATAGCTCTTTTGAATTTAATATTATAGTGAACGCATCTCTGAAGTCGGCTTGTTGTTGTAAGGTTTGAAATTTATGAAGTTCGTTTTGGATTTGGTTAAAAGAAATCGCGGCAACGCTATTTGATCAGCAGATCTAGGATCATGAGTGTGAATATCGGAGGTGAAAGGATAGTTTCTTCTGCGATGATGGTGACTTAACCCCCTTATATGATGGTGACTCAACCCCCTTATTTATAATTTCATATGAGTGGCAAGGATCATATGCTTTCGATATTCTGACCTTTTTTCAATATATTTTGTATTCTCTAAATTTCTTAACAAGTGACCTAATTATTATAGAGATTTTGACTATGGGCTATCAGCCTAGATTTTGTTCTCTCTAATCGTGACCCGACTGTAAAGGTCGGGTTACGATTAGACCATATTTTTCAAAATCTCTATAAGTAACAGACTCAATTGTTTCTTTATGTAACTACATCAAATTCCAGCTGACAGAAAGTTAGAGGATGATATGATTGTGTCGATACCTAGAATATACGTTTTACTACTATTAAATATGAGTGTTTTTGATGATTTTAATATCAAAAATATATTTCTGGCTATCTACTTTAATCCAGCAGTTGTTTCTGACATAACAACTTATAGGGGAGGTAGGGGAGCATTGGACAGTAGGGAGGTTTGGGCACCCCCTCATTCCTCGAAATCTATGGTAGATATTTTTTATTTTCTACAACACCATTATAGTTTAATAACTTGCAACACCGCTCGTCAAAAACTTCAGCTGTCATTTCACTTGGTTGTCAGGTTATATGCGGTTAACGGTTTGTTGTGTACAGAAGTAAATATTTTGTTTGTGATTTGGAAAAATATAACAAAGAAATCTGCAAGAAATTATAAGTATCTATTTTAACTTTTTCTTTTGTGTTTGATAAACATTATATTTAACCTTTCAATTAGGATTCAACATTTGACAAAAGTAGACTTATACAAATTTGTTTGAAATGTGGGGCTATGGTTAGCATTGGACACGCAGGTAGAAGGGAGGTTTGGGCATGCCCAATGCTCTTCCTGCTTTTAATGCATTTTGGTGTCATACTTCTATACTTTTTTGTTATGTCTACTGCAATGAATATATTAATCATTTCTTTTCAAGGCATTTCCTTTTTCATTGAAAAAAAAACAAGTGACGTGAAATCCCTGAAGATGTTATTATGCGCGCATTGGAAGAAGTGTCTAAAGGAGGGAAAATTAAAACTACTGCGATCAAATATGATATACCTAGGTCTAACCTTCAAAGATACACAAAGCAGGGTGGCGTCGTGAAAGATATTTCTTCTAAATTTATCTCATCTCAAATATTCACGAAAGATGAAGAAGAAAAAATTTCAGAATATATTGTAACATCGTTTAAATTTAACCATGGACTGTCGAAACTGAAGGCACTCGAATTAGTTTACGAATACCACTGCTATTGAAAAAAATACCAGATAACTGAACAGAAAAAAAAACTGCCTTCCAAAGATTGGATTAGATGATTTTTTAAAAGACAACCTGATCTTTCGATAAGGACAGCAGAAGCCACCAGTCTCTCAAGGGCTACAAGTTTCAATAAAAGAAACGTCGGAGATTTTTTTCAAAACCTGAAAAGTGTGTATGAACGGTATCGCTCCGGTCTCGAGTCTGTTTACAATATAGTTGAAACTGGATTATCAACAGTACAACAAACCCAGAAAGTGATTGCTTTCAAAGGCACTAAGCAAGTTGGGCAGCAAGTTGGGCGTCAGCTGAAAGAGGGACCACCATTTTTCATATTCCCACGGGTTAATTTCAGAACATATATGCTAAATGATGCCCCTGTTGAATCAGATGGAGCAGCACATACTTCAGGGTGTATGAAAGCACCATATTTTTCAAAATATATATGTAAAGGTTGTTTCATAAGGAAGGACGTGAAAATTAAAAAGCTGATGGAGTTTTTACTTCAGTCTATTGTCTTTCTTCTCATTCTGATTTACAATTGACAAATCGTTCATTATCGATACAGTTTGCATATCCTACATAAATATATTTGCAATATTAGCAAAAATATGACCTAGTTATAAATGAAAATGATTAATGTACAGGGTGGATATACATAAATAAATATTTAAAAGAATAAGTACAATTATCTAAAGGGCACTACATCTCCCCCTTTTAGAAGAATGAACTTCATTCCTGCCGAAAATGAAGGTCATTCATTCTTACAGCTACAAAAGAAAATAGTGGCCATCTATTGCCGACCATTTTAGAATTACACATAAAAATTGCACAACCTGATCTATTATTCAGTATTCATTTTTTTTCTCACTATATATATAACTGCACTCTGTTTTTATGCACTGTCGTAATTTTATTGTCTTTAAGGTTTTTTAGATCACAATTGACATTGTCACAACTAACGATTGAGTATGGGCCTTTATACCAATGATCAAACTTTGATCTATTTTCGTTTGTTATCGTAACCAAGTCTCCAGAGTTGAAATTAAGGGATTTTGAAGTTTGATCATATTCAATTTTACGTTTCTCCTTTTCCCTGATTAAAAAATCTCTAGCCCTTTGGTGAGAAATTTGCAAGCGGTATTTGAACTCTAAATAATAGGCGTCAGGGTTATATACTGGGTCTATTTTGTCAGTTAGTGCGTTTTTCAGTTCGGGTCTTTTTCCAAAAACTAGTTCGAAGGGTGTATAGTTATGATATATACTGGGGGTCGTATTGTAACAAAAACTATAAAATTTCATCCATTTGTCCCAGTCTGTGTGTGTATCGTTAACGTACATTCTAACATACTCGTTAAGTACCCGATGATTTCTCTCACAGCCACCTATACTCTGATGATGGTAGACAGTGGAGAATTTTTGTTGGATATCTAGTAGTTTCCACACTTGTTCTAATACCTCGTTTTTATATTCAGTTCCCATATCAGCCCGTATTTCGCGCATAGGACTATAAACCAAAATGAAGTTATCAACTATGGCCCTTGCGATAGTTAAGGCGTCTTTATTAGTTACAGGCGCTATAACAACGTATTTTGTTAATTCGCACTGAGCTGTAACCAAATAACAATTACCGTCTGATGTTTTAGGAAATGGTCCTATGGTGTCTATACACGTAATATCAAATGGCCGTTGAGGCGTTGGTGTAATCACCAATGGTTCCCTATGACCAATTTTACCTTTATTTATTTGGCATTTTTGGCAAGATCTTACATAGTTCGCTACGTCCTTAGACATATTTTTCCAACGAAACTTGGTCCTGATTTTCTTCAAGAGCCGCTTATGTCCACAGTGACCACCAAAAAGTGGATGATCGTGGTACTCTGTTATAAGTCTTTCTTTTTCGCTTCTATTTGTGATAATTGTGGGTTCATCATATAGTATTATATTTAAATTTTTCAATGTGTTTATACCCTTTTCTTTGAACTCATTTATTGTACATATTGTGAATATAGGATCCTTAGTTTTCAATTTTAATTCATCAATATTATTTTTGCTAGCTAAAGTTTCAAGCTCAAACAACACTTTCTCTAAAGAAAAGTTGTCATTAGCAAAATGTATTGTTTCCATATCGCTGATCTTGTTATTTTGACCCAGGATTATCCGAAGATAATCTGGCTTGATCGCAAATTTTAAATAAGAGATATTTATAGTTGTAATGTTGTCAGTGGTTTGAAAAACTTTTCTTTTTTTATTTTTTGGGCTAGTATTTGTCGTATTGGTCGTATTTGTATTATGAAATTGTTTTGTCATTGAACGTGTTATAGCGAAAATTTGTGTAGATGTGGAGGGGATGTTTTTAAGGTTCTACCTGAAAGCCATATTCCTCTAGATCTAAACGCATACGCGTTAATTTGGAGGAAGGATCTTTCATAGCAAATTAATAGACAAGCTATAGTCTATTTCAAAAGAGTGTAGAGTAATAAATCATGAAGTGTCATAAAATTTGCCTGAATTTCGTTGTCGTCCATGGGCGTAGGCAAATCTTAGGATTATTAAACTTAATAATTAAAGTAAATTAAAAATTACAGACATGGATAATAATAAAAGGCCATTTTTTATTACTGCCAGTTATATATGTTAGATATATTTGGAATACAATTTTGATTATGATAGTGTTACTGTTTGAATTTGTATTAGTTGCTAAGATAAGAATAACAATAAAGCATTGTTTTTGATCCTCTGTAGACCAAATTTCAAAAAATTATCAAAAATCTGTCATTCGGCCTGATATAAAGGTATCTTATACATTTTAGGTGAGATTAATCATCAACAAATGTTTGTTAATTATTAATCTTACCTAAAATGTATAAAATATCTTTATGTCAGGCCGAATGACCAATTTTTGATAATTTTTTGAAATTCGGTTTATAGAGAGTCAAAAACAATACTTTATTTTCATTCTTATCTTAGCAACTAATACAAATAAACGTCAATGTGAATTAGTCCAGGAATTCAAACAATGACAGATAAAAAATAACAGTTTTACTACCATCTATGTAAAAAAGTGCCCAATGCTCCTCTACTCGTAGTTCAGTTCAGTTAATATCAATGAATAAACAAAGGTATGGTAATGGATATGATTCAAATGATGAATTTTTGAGGAATATTTAATGACGAGAAAACCGAAATAAATTCTTGTAGCAACTTTTATAATAAACAAAAATATGAATGGAACTGGTCGATACCGAAGGTTTCTGAAACTGCGCACGTTTTCGCTTATCAATAGCTTCCTCAGGCAGAAATGAAAATTTTCACTGCATAAAATCATCGATAGTTTCCTACTTACCAATTTTTCCACATCCACCAATTTTACATGAAGTGTTTCTGAATATTATTATGACTGCCATACTGGTTAAGCCCATAATCAGTATCAACATTGATACAGCGAAGGAAATGATTTTGAATTGTCCGAACAGTAAAAATGTGTCGTCAATGACATCGAATTTGTTACCATCACAACTCGAAGGGCAGTCTACACATCCGCAACTTATTGAATCTGGCTGAAACATATTTAACGATAAAACACATAATTGAAATCTCTGGTGTTAAGTGAATCTGAAACAAGCACTCTGTTTCCAAATATCAGAACTGCGGTTGAATAGACTTCGTTATCTGCAGACGCGCCAATTTGGTTGGTGAAACACGCATCAACAAAGTGTTGCAGTTATGGTGTTTGGAAAGAGTGCTGAATTTGGACATAGTCAGCGATGTGTCAAGATTTATGAAAAAACGTCCAGTAAACAAATAGTTTCATATTATTTCGTAATTATTTATTATTCTATCAGTTCCAAATTAACCCTGCGTCAGACACGTGGGGTGTGACGTACCTCAGCTGTAGAAAATTCCGTATAACTTTTCGAAATTGGCGCCCCAACGTCGGATATATTCAGTAATATAGCTTATCGCCCACTTGTCCGGCACAGCACAGCACCCGTCATAATACGTATAGGATTGGAACAAGGAAAATGAATAGACAACTGCCCCACTAGCCCGGCATGACACAGCCAAGAACGTCCGCCGCTGAAAAGGATTCCAGCTCTCCGATCCTGTCTAGCAAATAACGGTACGTGCTGTGATGGACTGGCCAACTGAGCCTGTCAACGGCCAGTGCTTGCCAGCATCAACTTGTCCGAACGTGCCTGGGAAGTTTCTGTCCCTCGCCATCAGGCAACGGACAGCGCTGTGCTGTGCTGTGCCGGACAAGTAGGCGACAAGCCTATAGCCGCCACCCTCACATTCACATATCAAATCAGTTGTCGTTTGACGTATGTTTGAATCAGTGCTGTCATTATTATGAGGTTTTATAAATGGTATAAAAACACGTTTTCTTCCGGATATCGATTATCCGACGTACAATTCGCAAAACAGCAATGCTTCGTTGGCATTATACTAGTACCAAATAATTTTTTATACCAGATTTATATTTTTAAGTAATACATTAATATTACGTAAATAACACTGTTTGTCCCTACTACTAGTGCTGCCTCTCGTGACATGTTTGCTGTACTATTCTCAGGAAAAAGGCTCATTCGACAAAAGGGGGAGTAGATACTTAGTCTGGTCAAATTAGACTAAAAAATAAGAGTGATGGTACATAAATTTTGAAATTCCGAATGATTGCGACGCCTGGAAAAAAAATTATTCGAGGTCTTCCTACCAGTCAACAGAAATTTCTTGCAAATACTCACAACAAATCTCGGTTCATTTCAATGTTGAAGGATAAGTTCATTGGCGAAAATATATTGGTTAAACAGGCTAATAACGATGCCGACGTACTGATTATCGAAACAGCTATAGAGCAATTTAATTTGACAAATACAACTATTGTTGTTTGTGAAGATGTAGACTTACTCGTACTTCTTACTGCTCGAACTCCACCTGAAGAAACTATTTTCTTTCTAAAGCCAGGAAAAGCTCAAAGTCAAATCGAAATATATTCGTCAAAAAGTTTATCTACTTTTGCAAAGAGTCAAAATCATGTACTATTTTTACACGCAATAACTGGCTGTGATACGACTTCTGCATTTTACAGGATTGGTAAAGCAACAGTCTTTAAAATGTTTGAAAAACAAGATTTAGTTCAATGTGCTGAAGTTTTCAAAAAAAGTAATTCGACTCAACAAGAAATTATCACCAACGGGATTCAGTTTCTTCTTTCTATGTACAAAGCTCCGAAAAAAACCACCTGCTCAGATAAGTATCGATATGCATGTTCCGTAAGAAACAGGTGCAATTAGCTTGTCTTTCTCCAACCTCAGTTGCTGCTCATCATCATCTTTTCCGGGTATTTTACCAAGTTCAAGTGTGACTTGATTATCAGCTAGACCCAAAAGACTGGATTTGGAAGTTGGTCGATAATGCATTAGAACCTCTTCAGACTTTACTCCCACATGCGCCGGAAAAACTGCTGAACACAATTTTTTGCAACTGTAAAAAGGGATGCAGCGCTAAATGTGATTGTAAAAAAGTTGGACTGTTGTGTTCTCTGGCATGTACACATTGTCAAGGCCAGTCATGGCCTGAATCACCAATAGTGGAGGATTCATTTGATACCAACAAGGAAATATGCGATACATCACTCTTGACGCAGTTGCCCTACACCCAGCATGAACATCAAGAAGAAGAAGAAGAAGATCATGAAGAAGAAGAAGAAGAAGACCAAGAAGAAGAACGACAAGAAGAAGTATTTGAAGGTTATGACTCAGATGAATAAATTTTTCCATTTTTTTAATTTCAATCGCTTTTATAATTTACAACCCTTCCCAATATATTTTATTATGCAAGTTCTCAATTTGACAATTTGACAGAATCACAACAGACATGTGGAATAGGTCTTCTGGGGAAACCACCTTAAACAAAATGCGCTAAGTACACTACCTCATGGGAGGCGTGGAAACGTGTGCATATAATGACGATTACAACTTTTTGACTCGTCGTATCTCAGAAACGGTGGCTCTAATGAAAAAAAGGATCGGAATATAACTATATTTTGGTCGTTTTGGTAAATCAAAAATCATTTCATTTTGTTGCATGAAGATATATTACAGAATATAATTCTCATAACAACTATGTTAAAATGCAAAAAAAAGTTAAATTTTAACAGAAAAGTCATATTGGGGTCTCACACACCCCACGTGTCTACAAATGTTACGAAAGTAGACACCTCGGACGCAGGGTTAACTAATGAACTTAGTAATACTTCATTGTGCGATTGTAGAAGAGCAATTTCTGCCTTGAATTTCATTCACGTCCAGAAATTCAATCCCGCCATATGAAGATTATTGTAGAAACAATAAAAACATTCACTATTATTTCTCCAAAAAACACTTTACTGTGAGATTTTCATTAAACAGTTTTACAAAAAGGCAACACGCGTTTCGCCATACAATGGCTTCTTCGGGTAGGTCTTTACTGTACGGCAGTTTTCAGGCATGTTCAATACAAACAAGTTCAAAGAAGCTATTGTATAGTGAAAAAAGTGAGTTAGTGAAGCATCGCCAGAAGAAGCCAATGTATGGCGAAACACGTGTTGAGTTTTTGTAAAACTGTGTGTTCATCTCACAATGAAGTGTTTTTTAATACACTTTTTTCACTATATAATAGCTTCTTCGAGCTTGTTGGTATTGAACATACCTGATAACTGTTGTATAGTAAAACAGGTGTTGTGGTTTTGTAAACGTACAATATCTGCCATATCCATCTGAAATGGAGATTACTTAGGCCTTCGAGGTAGCTAAGACTAATTTCCCAATAGAAGACCAAAAACTTTCTTTCCCAAACATTTTGAAATTGACAACACTAAATAAATTTTATAGACACCCACGGAATCCTTATGTCCAGTATATCAAAACACATATATCATTGTATTCATAAATTGTTTATTATTAAACTTAATCTGACCAATATTCTAACAATGCGCCCCATCGTGTCATCTATTGGATCTCCTACCTACCAAATAGCAAAATGTCTTACTAAGGAAGGCTTGCCCATTGCGAAACCAGGTTTTAGTATCAAAAACTCCTTAGAGTTCATACAACATACAAAAAAAAATAGCTCTGCAAGGAAGTGAGGTTTTGGTTTCCTTTGATATCAGTTCTTTATTTCCTAGCGTCCCAATTCCACAAACCTTACAATACCTCAGGGAATTACTAGAGAAAAATAATTTCAACAATAACAAAATTAATGAATTCTTTTCTCTCACTAATTTGTGTGTGAAACAAAACAGGAGGAAACGGCTATAGGTAACCCCTTGTCCCCTACCTTGCAAACTTGTACATGAGCAAATTCGACATTGACACCAAGGAAAAGTCAAAGAATTTTCCTGGGATATGGCTAAGGTATGTGAACGATGTTTTCGCGATATTCGATAACAAAAAATCAAATATTGAGGATTTTCTTTCGGTAAAGAAAGTTTTTGGCTTTCTACTACTCCATCTTGATACAAAAAAAGGATAAGGGAATCTTCCAAAGAAAGGAAGGAAGTAATCAATTAGAAAATAAGTAACTTTATACATGGATGGGTAGATCATGCAAAGAAGTAACTTTCAGTATGTATATATATGTATACTAGTGAGGATGACAGTTTTCCATGTAAGTGCAATTTGTTACCATTCATTTATAGTAGAACTCATGTGAATGATATCTGATTTTTATTCCACAACGAATGTTTGAAATACAAACTGAGTAGAGAAAAGTATCTTCTGTATAAATCAGTGTTCATATAGAAATATTTGTTTCGAAAGAATTTTTTTTTTCGTGTAATCCAATGTTTATATGAAAGTAGCTGTTTCAGGAGGTCTTTCTTTCAGTTTGTGTCTGACAAAAATTATTTTACTTCCTTCCTTTGGAAGATTTCCTCATCCTTTTTTTGTATCAAGATGGAGTAGTAGAAAGCCAAAAACTTTCTTTCCCAAAAATTAATCACCCCTCCAATTCAGACTTTCTTTCCTTTTTGAATAACAGATTTCCATCAATAAAATCCACGTATGAGTTGGAAAATAAAGGACCACTTCCATTTCTCGACGTTTTGGTAATGAGGAGCCAATGTGGAAAGCTAGATTATGATGTACTTAGGAAGGAAACAAGCACTTACAGGTATATTCGTGACAGTTCACATCCCTGTGAACAACACAAACGTACTGGACTGAATTTTCTAGTGCATCGTCTTTTGAACTTTCGTCACACACATGAGAGTTTCACTAAAGATAAACGGACAATACCGAAAATAGGAGTCAGTAACGGTTTCTCGAGGGGTATTGTAGATGGAAGAAAAAGTTTAGATTGAGAATGAAGGAAATCTGAACTTTTAGAAACGACGAAAACCAATAGAATTAAATCTCAGTTCCATACCACCAATACACGAAGAACTTCGGAAAGATTCTCAAGCAACTAGGTTTGAAGGTAGTATTTGAAACAAGTCATACACTACAGAACCTTTTAGGAAACCCAAAAGACAAAGTCAAGAATTCGGAAAAGTCTGGAATTTACGAAATAAAATGTGATGACTGCGATGCAAAATATCATGGACACACTAAAGATCTATTTAAATAAGATATAAGGAACACTTAGCACACCTGAAATATGGAAGTCCCATCATATTTTGCCACAAAACCATTCGACAGACTTTAATTCATTAAGATTAGTTAGATAAGTTAATAACAACAGGCATCTAGATGCCTACGAAAGTGTAGAAATAAGTAAATATAATAACAATGGCGGTTTTTGTACAATTTATTTATTTCCAATGTTTCCAACACATTCATCTCCTTTCCTTTATTGTCTGATGTTCGTGGTTCTATCGTATTCCAAAATTCCAATTCCGTTCCCAGTCTCGCTTTCCCTGTTTTTAAAAGATATAAAAAATGAAAATTTGAAGTGTTTCCAAAACCTCTGTTGGTGTGGCTTTCACTGATGGGATTTTGTAAATACATCGAACTGGATCGTCAAGGTTCAATTATTTTTTTTCTTTTTATATTTAGCTTATTGTCATATTTATTAAAATTTTTAACTTTTTCGTGATTTTAGGGAAACAGAACAGATAATTATTTGAAACAGTTTCTCTGGTGAATTTGTTTGTGAAGCCCTATAAGACGGCAACCTTAAATGATGTTCAAGGAAACAACTCATTTTATCTATTAGTGAAAAATTTGGATAGTAACCGATTGTTTTTATGAAAGATGAGAATGTATATTTTTTGTTATATTATTATTATTATCATAGAGTCCATTACTGCAGTATAATAGAAAATCAAGACTGCCACAAAGTTTCACAAAAATGCAATACCTGTTGGCCATACAATGGCTTCTCCAGACGTGTCTTTACTAACTAATCATCTCTAAAGGAATAATTTCTTCAGGCCACTCTCAACTCCCTACACAGTAGGTTAATGGACTGACACCTATCAGAAAACAACTACTCCCCTGGCTAATACCACGAAGGGCGATGGATTATATCTGACAAGTGTCGGTGCAGGATTCTTCACTGAAGTTATTCCTGCATATGCTGTTGGCGATACAACTGCCGCAATAGATTTTCGTTATTGCCTGTGAATGAGAAGCGCGATGACAAACCTGTTGTTTGTTGTCCGCTTCAGCCTAGTTCGAGGAATGATACTCTGAAGGAATTCGATCTTTAGTTATCAGAAATCATCGGCTTTATGTTGATGATATACACTACCTTGCACTGACGAGTGGCGAAACAGCTCGAAACCGGCCTGCAAATGTGTTCCAATAATTAAAAATCTATTTCGGCAGTTATATCGCCAACAGCATAAGCAGGAATAAATTCAGTGAAGAATCCAGCACTGACGCCCGTCGGATATAATCCAACGCCCTTTGTTGTATTAGCCAGGAGAGTAGTTTTTTCTGATAGGTGTCAGTCCATTAACCTACAGTGTATAGAGTTGAGACTGACCTGAACGAATTGTTCCTTTAGATGATTTGATTTAAGGCCAGTCTTCAAGTATGTCCACTGAATATATGTGAAAAGTTTACTGACTAAATTCTACATATTGCAAATTTCAATTACCCGAATTTTACTTAGCAATGTTTTATGTGTTTTTGAGTTTGTAATGAATGAAATGACTTCAGCTTACCTCTAAACAGTTTCCACATTTGATTAAATATTCAGTAACGGGGAGTTATTTAATTCTATTTGGTCATATTGAGTTTTAAACTCTTCTAAATGTAACACATCGAATCATGATTGAACTTCTGCTGAAAGGTGGTTTGCCAATATGAAATTGGCCTTTCTTTTCAAGAAACTACTTCTACCCTCTTCAATTCTTTGGGAAAAGGTTCTTCCTGTTTGGCCAATATAAAGTCAGCTTACATACTCCTGATCTATCCGACACCGAAGCTTTGTCTCCATTGTTTTTAATAAATATACTTAGACTATTATTCGCATTCTTTTTCAAAAAACGGGCGATATAATTGGTGGGTTCACCACAATGTCCTATAGCGGACCTTATCGTTTCTTGAATTTGGGAAGACCTGGTCCATGGCTCGTTTATGTAGTTTTTTGGAAAGGATGGAGTCGATAATATCTACCTTGTAAGCGTTGTTGACCTCGATCTGTTTATGAAGTCAGCTCTCTCTGGAAATTACTTTCCGAAAGTGGAATATTCAATAGTCTGTGAAGCATACTATTGAATGCACGTGTTTTGATTACCAAGTTATCATCTCTAAGAGGCTGAGAATGAACGCAATCCGAGTTTTAAAAACGTCGAAAATCAAGATAAATATATCTCAGTTCCATACCACCAATTCACGAAGAACTTCGGAAATATTTACCGAATTCTCGACAAAGTCGAAATTAAATGTAAGGACTGCGAAGCAAAATATTATGGACAGACAAAAAGATCAATTAAAATAACATATAAAAAACACTTAGCACACCTAAAATATGGAAGACCAGAAAAATCATCAGTCACCCATCATATTTTGCCACAAAACCATTCCATAGACTTTAGTTCATTGAGATCAGTTAGACAAATTAACAAAAACAGGCATCTAGATATCTATGAGAATGTGGAAATATTAAGAATAACGATGGTGGACCAATAACTAATAGTATACTATATAGCTTGATCAGATTTACCTGACTATCACATAAAGACACATTGTAAAATTAATTCAAGGCTAGTAGACAAAGCAATATTGTAAAATCAATTTAAGATACTCAACACACAGGTACCTAGAAGAGGTATCTATGGTATATATATAAGGATAACAATGTACGTATTTTTAGTTTGATCTTCCTCTTGAAGATGATCACTTGGTGATCGAAACACGGGTCGAAGTGTTGAAATAACGGTTTGGTGTTGGGATAAAACTCCAGTAATATTCATTACTACACCAAAGGTTCCAAAAGGTGCATGACAAATATATGTATAACAATGTCCGTATGAAATGGTTTGTGGAAGATTGCAAAAACATGTTTATTATTAATTTTCGTAATAATAAAGTCGAAGTAATTTATTTAATCTATTATCTCCTATTTAGGAGAAGTCTCATCAGCTATGTAACGAAGTACTCGTAGAAACAACCGAACTCCAACTCCGGTCGAAGCTGGATTCGAACCCATGATTTTTGAAAAAATAGAACAAAATCCGGTATAGTAGACCGTGGTCGAATGGAACCACAATTTTAGGATTATGGGTCTAGCACGATACCATTTCCGCCAATTTTTACTGGGGTGTATTAAGTGGAATTATGTTTTGTAGAGACTCTAGCGCTAAATCAGTTATCATCATGAACTCACCCAAGCCTCTTCACAAGAATATGATGTTGAATTCACAGCTCCAACTACAGAATCATTAACAGGATTGAAATTCATCTTGAAAGGGGAGAAGAGATTCTTTACTGGATCAGTCGTAAACTCAAAAAATCTGAAAATAAACTTCAGATTACATATGAACAGAAACACTTTTGAAGTTTGGTGGTGATATGAAAAATACAAATTACTAATCAGAACTCAGGTATACACAGGGTGTTTCACATATTCAGGGACGTGATTTTTAGTTCAATTTCAGGAAAAAACTTTCATATGAACATATTATATCCTGAACGACCACGGTGCTGAAGTTTGAGAAAAAATGTTATTAAATGAGAGCTGCTGAAAGGTACGTTGCACTATATCGTTCACTTGAACTATACCACATTCAGTGATGAAGCAGCTTAAACCGCTGCGCTGGTAGCTGGTTCACACAAGCAATTTATGAATTCTCTGACCCGTTACTTGATGAAAATTAATAACACTATCTATGAAGATTATAATAAAATTTTCACAATAAATTTTATTCAGAACACGGTAGTTTTATCAGTCGCTAAGCGATAGCTTCATCGGTTTGCTGAGCGGTGGCTTCATCAGTAACTGATGAAATGTATCTATTCTGGAAATTCTATAATCATTATGACGGACCAACAATTCCTTTTTTTCTTTGACATTTCAATTAGTCACATGTGAATCTTTAATAGTTACCTAATTATTACAAATTACAAATGATTAATCACCAATATTATTATATTGAGTCCCTTTACATGCTGTCATACACTCCATTACATCAATAACTATATTGATTATATTGACTACAATTTCGGTGAAATGTTTTTAATATTAATAATAATTTATCTTATACTGATACTGTACTATGGTAACTTGTTCTATGTTATGCTAGACATAATCTAAAGAACTAATAAATCATTATTATTATTATCGTTTCCAGTTTGATATTTTTATTAGTAGTACTGTTTATATAGTGCATGAAATTTTGTAAAGAAGCAAGCATAGAAATACTGTTGGTTATTGTGGGGGGATTCACGTATCAATTTGAGTCAGTATGTAATTGGTTTGGAAAAACCATAACGTATTCAAGTAACACTTCATTGTGCAACACACATATTCCAATTAGTTTTCACATAAACTCAGGTGAAATTATTATCTATCATCTAGATAGATAGAATGTCAAATGTTCCAATGAACAAAGCCAGAACAAAGCCAGTGACGAGACTTGGGGGTCGTGTAGCTTACGACTCCGTCATCGAGTCATGTAACTTCAGTTTCACTAGGTTCTTGAAAATGGCTTTAAAGCAGAAAAAGAAACGTCGAACAGATGAAAACTACAGACGCGGTTCAACGCGGACTACAAGACATGAAATTGCTGACCGCGGTAACCTATATTAATAGCACACAGAAAAATGAATCGCACACAGATGATACCACAAGCTGGCAAGACGAGTAACAAAAAGGGGGTAAAAGGAGGAAAAGTAGAAGATGTGAACGAAACGAAATCATGTCCAAAATACGTCCTTAGATTCCCCGATTCAACTTGTAATTGTGAATTTTGGCGAATTTTTGGCGAATTTTGAAACAGCTCAGTATCAACAAGGCGCCCGACATCGTACTCAAAAAGTGCGCAAATGAACTCGCACCAGTATTTTGCAGAATTATCAACCTGTCTTATAGGGAAGAGTTTTTTTACTTCTAGTTGGAAGAGTGCTCTGTTCAGCCTATTCCCAAAAAAGGCATGGACATTCTAGCAGATACTTTAGACCAGTCGCTTTGCGATCAGTGGTATCAAAAATTATGGAGATAAGCGTAAACCAGCATATTCTTAAATATTTGGAAGGCTTTACCATCTTGAGCGATCATCAATATGGCTCTCTGAAACAAATATCAACAGGCAATCTTCTGTCCCCCAGCTGTTGCGCTTGATATTTCTAAGGCCTTTGACCGTGTGTGGCATGAGGGTTTGCTGGCTAAACTTTGATGCTATGGCTTGTCGGATCTGCTCCATGAAAAAAATTTACCTGGAAGTAGCTGTCGATGGATATATCTCGAATACTTTTACCTGGTGATCCCCAGGGATGTGTATTGTCTCCAACCCCCTTTTTTATGTTTATCAACGATTCAATCGAAAAAACGAAGAATCCAATATATTGCTTTGCTGATGACAACACACTTGTCTCGTCATTCCATTCCAGGACATCGGCTGCGGATGCATATCTTCACCGGTAACATGAGGTTGCATATATTAATGGGGATTTAGAATTGATTTCCATAGGGGTGGAACTAACCAGGTTTAATTCAGTTCCACAAAAACCAAGCATAGGGTTTCTCCAAGAAGAAAAATGTCTCCGAATCGAATGTAATAATGTCAGGACAGGTAATTCTGCTTTCTGCTTCGATAAGTTAGTTGGGGGTTGAAATGAACACCAATATGTCTTTGCACAATCATGACGCTGGAATTGCAAAAGCTGCTTCTCATAGCTTGGAGCACTGTTCCGAACCAGAAAACTGTACACACCTCAGCAATTTTTGATGCTTCAGAAAGCTCAGATTAGACCTTTTTTGGAGTATTGTTCACATGTATGAAGCTCAGCCCTTAAGCAAACTCTGAAGCTGCTGGATTCAATCCAGAAAAGAGCTATTTGCCTGATTGGAGACGCGAACATCACTTGCAACCTTGTTAGACTGGAATATCGAATAAAGGTTGGGTGTTCGTTTCTCTTTTATAGATACTTTCGCGGGAAGTGTTCAAATGATTTGTCACGTATGATTTCATCAGAAGCGGTGCATATCAGAAATACGCGATGGACTGTGGCTACTCATCGTTTTGAGGTTCAACTCAGTTTCTCAATACTACCTGAAAATCTGATAATTTATTGAAGAAATGATATTACCGTTAGAATTTTTGTAAAGACAATTAAAGACAGCCCATTCAAAAATTTGATTTCTCATATGATTAACACAGGTTTTTTGGTATCAACAATTTTCTTTTTAATGGGTATAAATCTTTTGCAGAAAATGCAATTTGCTACAAAAAAAAATTAGAGCAAACACTCTTCTATCAACAGTTTTTGAGCTGTAGAGTTGGAGAAATGAAAGTTAATGATCATTAATACCATGTTTTTTTAACTTTTGATCTCGCACTAAATATTATTTACAATAAATTCTACAGAGTTATTAAATTAATAATTTTAGAAACGGCAGTTTGTATTGATAAATTTTAATCCATAGTTATTATGAAATCATAATATCAATGAACTAAAATTCAAACTTCCTCTAGTTTTATTCGAACAAGCGTCTCTGTATTTGGAAAATCGTCTCACAGAAAACACTATTTTTGAAGATCCTGGACCTACACACCATGCACGGTGGATTTCGAAAGCCGCTTATTACTTGAAAATGTTCCTGTTCCAGGAACAATGTTCCCTTAGAAGAGTCGGAAGCAGAGGACTCCGTCGTATCTGAATTTTTTTAACATTATTGTACGTATGAGCTTGGTACTGTGCGCCTTTGTCAATTCAAGCTCCGCGACAAGATTCGGAATAAAAAAAATTATTAGAATATAAGACGATCAATAAGAAATTTTTACAAGCAGTGTCAAAGAAATTTAGCACTCATCTCATCATTCACTATTGTACGTATAAGCTTTGTATTGTGCGCCTTTGTCAATTCAAGCTCCACGACAAGATTCGGAATTAAAAAAATTATTAGAATATAAGACGATCAATAAGAAACTTTCACAAGCAGTGTCAAAGAAATTTAGCACTCATCTATAGTATTTGTCTGAAGAACTTATTTGTTTATCACTTCCCGATAATAATGTATGCTCAGAAATTAAAATTAAAATTATAGAATCAAAGAATCAAGAAGCTAGCGAAACTACAAATTTCAAAAAAGTCGAAATTGATTCCGTCATGAATGAAAATTTGTACGATTTCAGCGATTTAAACTCATTAAAAGCAATTTTCGAATACTGATAATCAAAGATTATTGTTACCACCAACTCAAAAATGAAAGAAAAATCAGTAATTCTAACGATTTATACTCGTATATTTAGTTTAAATAGAAATTATAGTCTGTATGTTCTGACCCACGATTATTTTATCGTAAGTATGAATGCTTAATGCACACAAGAATTACATTAACTCTTGTGAAAAGATAGGATGAGAAAAATAACTGACTAGATGTACTGTAGACAAGACAAGATTTATTTTGACTGTACTCGTACAAGGTTTGAAACGTAATGAATTATTTTATAAATGCAATGTTCCACATCGGTAGTTGGAGAAGGGGTTCAACTTGGTCATTGTGGAGAGAAGCTCGGATTAACATAGGTTTTTTTTTCAGCGAGTGGAAAAATGTTCGAAAGACACCTGGTAGCTCTGTGTCCAGATTGTGGACACAGAGCGACCACTCATGAGTGGTTTTTTTAGTCGGTAAGGTAGGAAAGGTCATAATAGCGGGTCCCAAGATAAGGGACACAAGGAACAATTGAGGAATAGAAAAACTAGCTACTTGTAGCTTTACGCGGGTTGCTTATCTGCTTTGTTGTACAAATTTTAGAGCTGGCATCTCTAGGCTGAATACTAAAAATGTAAGATTCACAATTCATTTGAAAAAATAATAATTTAGATAGCAAGATTTTGAGACAGAACACTATTAATAACAATTAACAATTTTATAACTTCACAGCGTTCATTCCCAATTATATTCACTGTAAGATTGAAAATTTCCAAATTCAAGAAAATTTGGTTTCGATTAACATTCACCTTTCTAGCTGTACAACTCAAAAACTGTTGTTTGAATAGTGTTCGGTCAAAAAAATGTTTTGGAGCAAATTCAACCCATTACAAAATCTGCCCACTCATTTCTTCTAAAAAAAAATTCAATACCGAAAAATCAAGTTGGAACCAAAAAAAAAATTATCCAGTGTTATTTATATGTGAAATCGATTTTTCGAATGGGCGAAGCCTATTCTTGACTTAGAATTTTTTTCCAACGGAATTTTTTCTCCAAAAATTTTTTTTCTATAGATGCTCAGATTTTTTATAGTATTTAGAATAACCTCAATTTTATAAATTATTATTCATTTCCTAATTTTTTTCTGACGTAGGTACTCGCTTTAGATGCGGCGTTATATTGAAATCATGAATGAAAGAGATATTCCGAAATTAGGACTTTTTTTGAAATGTCTTCCACTTTGAGGATGTATTTTTTTCAGTTTCCTAATTCTTCATATTTTTTAAAATAATTGCAAAAACCCAAATATCTCTTTTACATCTTGATTTGTTTATAACTTGTGCATTTCGGATCGAATGAGCCATCACACCATTCTCAACTCGTAAACTAGACTATTTCTCATTCCGCTTTTCCCAAGACCGAGAATATATTTTATAACTACGTGCTTCAGTACCTCTGTTTATGTTATGAAAGCATTCATTGAAAATGTGCAAATTCACTACCAATAAACTAACCAAAACTTTTTTTCTCGACTGAGACAAAATATACTCGTACAGATAACTTCAAAAAGTTTTTGGGGTCTAATTACTTTCGGAAAAAAGCTGTGCTTACCGTTCTGGAGAACACTTCCCGCTTGTTCCACATGCACTCTCAATAACCAATCCTCCTGTAGACGGCATTGAAACATCTTTGCAAGATGCGTAAACTTTATTCATTGTCGATTCGTAAATGTTCAAATCGAAGTCGGTGACGTACCCTGAAAAATATTTTTGACTTATAGTTTTGTTGAATTTAGTTTCATTCCAATATAATTTTCAAGAGACCTTTGAGGGTCATTTTTCAATGGAAATACGATAAGTAATTTTAAAATAATAATAAAACATCTCTATTCACCTCAATGTTAGGAACATATTGAGACTCTATGCAAAAAACAATGGAATAGATAGAGCGAATGATAAGGACAATGAAAAAGAACAAAACATTACGATACGAATCAGTATCCCCAGGGAGAGGACTCGTCTCATTCACTACATTTTACAGGATAGCCTACAAGGAAAATTGGATTTGGTATTGATTTCAAATCATGTGACTCGGCCAAGTTTGGTGTTGGAGCAACTGCTGTATACCAAACATTTTCTAATTGAATAGAAGCCAATGCATGGGGTCTTCTTCAATAACATTGGAGACCTTGGCTTTTCAAAGCGCCTGACGTTCGCTTTTCTCAGGTTGAGTGGGCTGAAATCAGAAACTGAGGGGTTCATCATAGTTTGCCAAGATGGTGTCTTCAACACCTTAGTCTACTGCAGTCGCGTGATGGGTATCGAGGTTCCTGACCCTAATGCACTTGCTATCAGCATATCCAGCATATGCGGTCTCGGTCTATATCCATCAATATAACGCGGCCCTAAGAGTGCTATATTATCATCTACGGCACTCTCACGGGACACTCTAACGAGACACCGGTGTTGCCTTACTCTCCGGGGGATATTGAATCCGATGTGGGAAACAAGAAGTGCCGAATTTATTGGAACTATTCGTTCTCCACCCACTGGCTCATACAAGCTAGTGAGCCTGATGTAGTCCTTCTCGACCACCAGAGCAAAATGATATTTATCGTGGAGTTTTCAGCTCCTAGCGAGACGACTATCGTCTTTTCAAACTCCGCAGACTCTATCCAGATCACTCTGTCAAGATGGTTATTCTGATTATTGGAGTCCTTGGTGAAATGATGCCCTATCTACTCTTGAATCTTAAAATCATACCGGCTTTCCGCACTAAGGCAAAAAACGTAGCCAGACAGATGCAGAAGGCTGTCATTCTTGACTCACTGCGCTTGCTCAGGGCACATGATTCTCGGACGGTGTGGGGAGTGGTCGTTGGTTGATAATGCTGGCGCGCCCTCCCGAATGTATCGGGGCTTCGGGGGATAGGGCCTGACCAGTGTCTACGTCGGTAAAAAAAATATCAGATCAATATCAGATCATATTTACATGATATTGGAATAGTCTCAGACATAATGTATGCATAAAATCAGATGTAATAACAATATTGGAAGTTTTGAATGTTATAATAATATAATATGGCATCCGAGTGCCATAACTCACGTTATCTTTTTGCTCATGGATTCTGATATGTCATAGCAACATTCATTATATAGAAAGTTTTTAAGTTTTCTTTTGAAACCATTGACGTTGTCTTCCTATTTCATACAGGCAGGCATATTATTTAGAAATTGAATTCCTCTGTATTTTGGGCTCTCTCATACAGACTAGTTTCATGTTTAGAAGGCCTAATAAGTTTCGACGATCGAGTTGGGTAGTCGTGATGATCAGAATTGAGAGAAAAGTTATAATAATTACTTTTTGCATATAGAATGCATTTGTAGATGTAAACAGAGTAAAATATAAGAATTCCATGTTCCTTGAAATGATTACGACATGCTTCTCTATAGTCTAGGCCGAAAATCAATCGTATAATCCTCTTTTGAGAGACGAAGACCCTGGATGTTCCCATGCACCACCCCATAGAATAATATTATGAGAAATGTGGAAATAAACAATAGCATAGTAAATGCTGATCAACTGGCTCGTCACAAAAATAGTTTTCAGTTGGAATATAGCAAAGTTACTACTATTCAACTTCTTGCAAATGTGATTGACATTGCTATTCCATCTCATATTATTGTCCACAAATACTTCAAGAAATTTGGTGGATTTCGCGAAAAGGACTTCACTATCATTTACTGAGATTCTACTATTCTCAGATATCTCATTTCTGGTGAAAAACTGTTCAAGCAAAATTTACTGTCAGAGAATTTCTCCAACATCCCGTGATAAATTCCTTTGCCAGTATATTCATTTTTGCAATTGGCTCATCAGACGTTGCTTTCGTTGCTAAAGTGGTATCATCAGCATATAGAATTAGGTGTTTAGTGCTGACGTATTTGGAAAGATCATTTAAGAGATCTCTCCCACATCATGTGGGAGAGATCTCTGATTGTCAATTCTTACAATAATTTTTCTGGCCTCAAGATATGAAGCCAGTCACGACAGAAATCCACGGAAACCCAGTTCACTCAGTTTGTTAATTGTAATATGAGTATTGATTGAGTCCAAACCTTTCGGCAGATCAAAAAATTATAGACTCAGCATCGTCTAGGTAGAATATAGCTATATACAGGGCACTTCTATCATCATGCGGTAACTTCCTATATTATAAGCCGTAACAGATATGAAGACGGTTAAATGGGGGCAAAAGTAACTAGCGTGTGGAACAGTACATTGATCAAAGAAAATGTGCTTTCGCCCTTCTCGAATTATACAGGGAAAACTAAAAATGCTATTTTTGGTTTTATATGAATGAAATTGTTATTTCAGAAAATATAAAAAATGAGGGACGAAAATTTTGTTGATTGAACTTTTTGTGTCAACACTGCCACTCCCAACTTTTTTTTTCAAAACTCATAGAGCGATGAAATTACAATTCAGTGATATGTAACACTTCATTTCTTTATATATTTTTTTCATCATTTCATAATGAATTTTTGGGAGGAAAATACAGAAAATGAATTCTGCATGATATTACATGAAAAGCTCAAATTGACGACCCTTATGTTGAACACACATAAGTTGTGGCAATTTTCTGGCATGATGGGTGTAATGCTATCAAATACATCTCTCATTTTTCGTTTGAGATAGTCGATATATGTATTAGGTGTCGAAAATTAATGCCTAGACAGAAGACACAAAGAAGTAAGGAATGGGTGTCGAGCTGGCCAGGCAATTGGTCCATTTTTTTCAATCAATTTTTTTGGGAATGCTACTCTATTATGAATATTATTGGATAAAAATTGCAGATGTATTCCAATATCAAAATGCTTGTCGTGAAAGAAAGGACCTATTAAGTTTGTTCCCAAAATTTAAAACCAAATTATTATTCCGATCCATTCCTGGAAATTGGTTTCTTTATGTAAATGTTCCTTTGGATGTTTCTGTTGAACCAGCCATTATTGGTGAAATCTGATTCGTCAATCCATATTAACTTTCACAAATATCTTGATGGAAAATATTTTCGTAACTGACCAATCCTAAATTGAGGAAAAAACTTATTTTTTTTTAATATTTATGAGGTAATTTTTGCTCAACCAAAACTTTCATTAGACTCCTTATACTTGCAATACATTTTCTAGTTTCATTTCTGTCAAATGCACCATAGTCCTTCAAATTTCTTTCCAATCGTCTTAACATTTGAATATTCATGATACTTTTTCTAATGACAAAATACAAGCACTACATGAAAATCACACAGGCACCATTCTCAGAGCGGTGCCTGTGTGAAAGTAGCGATTCACATTGGATTTGAATCGCTTGAGATTGAATCCATTTGGAAAAACGTTCTCAGGAAGTTTATTCCACATAAACAGTTCTCCAGATGAAACATTTCTCAAACAGTGAAGTTCGAGGTGTATTGAGTTGAACATCAAAACGATAAGTAGCCACAGTCCGTCGCGTATTTCTGATATTTCCTGCTCTTGGTGGAATCAAATGTGCCAAGTCACTTGAACACCTCCCGTGAAAGTATCTATAAAGGAGAGAAAAATCTCCAACCTTTTTCGATATTCCAGGCTATCAAGGTTATACCTGATGTTCGCGTCTCCAATCGGGCTGATGGCCCTTTTCTGGATGGAATCCAGCAATTCAGGGTATGTTTGGAGGCAGAGCTACGTACTTGAGAGCAATACTCCAAAGAAGGTATCATCTGAGCTCTATAAAGCATCAAAAGTTGCTGAGGTATGTACAGTTTTTGGGTTCGGAACAGTGTTCCAAGCTTTTCAGAAGCCTTCGCAATTCCAACTACATGATTGTGCCAAGACATGTTGGTGTCCATTTTACTCCTCAACAAACTTATCGAAGCATTAAGTGGAATTGTCTGACCTGACTTTATTGCCCTTATGCCTGGGTTTTGTGGCAATGAATTGAACTTGATTACTTTCATCACAATTCGAAATCACTTCTGGATCCTCATTAAGATATGCAACCTTCTGCTGCCTGCTGAAGAGCCATACACAAAAATGACTCACGGTCAAAGGCCTTACAAATATCAAGCTCAACAGCTCACCATACATATTTCTCGCCAAAATATGATTTTTATCTCATTTTCCATAAGTGAATAGCATATCAGTCCTTTCGTCATTTGAATACGTATTCAATATTATGTAATCGAGTACATAAACGTCTGACAGTTCTTAACAGATGACAACTCATTAATTTTTCCAGTTATAAAAATTCAGTAGACCCACAGGTGTTCAAAAATGGTAAATGAATTGAGATGCTATTAAATTGTGAAAAAACTAATTTTCGTTACTTTCAGGAATGAGAGTTATAAAAATATTTTGTTCAAAAATTATTTCAAAAAATGCAGCATTGAGAAATTTACGGTAAGTGAAACAAAATATTCCAGATAGGAAAAATGTTCGTTGTGTATTTTCTCATCAGAATTATTGGATAATATATGAGGTATGCCAACAGTTGACAGTTTTGGAGAAAAAAATGCAATTGACAGAAAAACTTACGATTGAAAATTGTCACTGATAATGCTAGTAATTTTAAATGAAACGCTATAAAAAAATCAATTGTGATTTACTACTGAAGTGTGATTTTATCGCTTCATCAATATTTGTAATAAAAGAGACAGGTCCGTATTTGGAAAAAAAAGTATTTCGAATAAAATGAAACTTTTTTCCATCTTTTATATTTTCTGATGTAACAAACAAAAACTGCATTTTTTATTTTCTCTGTATAACTCGAGAAGGGCGAAAATCCTCGTAAATATTTTTGACTATTCTCCACGACAGTTACCTTTTTTTACATTCAGCAATATTACCACCCGATAAGAGAAACGGCCTGTATATCCCGAAGCGAAACTTGCTCTGATCTAGGTGACCTATATAGTTGGAAAGAGTTCTAGACCAATTTGATTTTCTCCAAATCTACAACTTTCGTTACATTTTGTTATAATTCATAGATATTTTTTTTCAATTATTCATTTTTATTATTTTCTATCAAATAGGATAGTGTCTTTTGTCCAAAGATTGAAAAATTTCGGCACACATTCATCAAATATTTCATTAATTATACTATTTGGAACAATATTCTCAATCACAAAGGAGTACGAGTATATATTTTCAGCAAAAAAAAAATAGTTATCTCAACAGGATGTTACATTCAACCCGCTGAAAATAATTTCAAGACAATTTTAGGTGCATGAATATTCTTGTGAAATTATCATCTCATTAGTGATGTTCTGAATTATCTTGAAAGCAAAAATTGCACTTGGGATGTTTTGTTTCTAGAACCTGACCTGACATTGCTGGGACTTCAAAATATAACCTTCGTCACTATTCCACTGATGATGTATGTTGCAGTAACAGACGAAACATTTGTTTTTACAAGTTCTATTCGACCACGGATTCTGTTTTCTCTAGTTCAGGTGTTAAATTTGTAATTTCTGATTAGAGGAAGTACACCCGGAGAATTTCACCTCCTATTTTTCTGTATTCCCCGATATTTGTTTTCAGATTACGAATTGAGACCTGAGGTCCCTTCAAGAATATCTTCTAGTCTCTCCTTGATTTTCTTTGAACTTTTTTGTTTTGAGTTATGGATGTTTTGTATTGATCTCATAAACATGATTTCTGTGCTTTCAAGACTTTTCTAGTTTGTCTAATGCGTGTTAGATCTTGGTCCCAACAGTAATCGGACTGCTGCCAACTTCAAGTCTGTAGAGTCTTTTATTTCAAAATTATCCGTCTAAGCTTGGTTTGATTTATTAGCTCCCCAGTTTGTTTTACGACGGTCTTGATGAAATATGGGATGAGGGAAAGTGGGGGTTTCCTGTATCTTGGAGCCCCATACAGGGGCTATAGGGATTGTAATGACATATTCTGTACACCTCACTTCAACAGAAACAAAAAATATTCTACTTGTGGATTATGCTATGTTTCCAGGTCAACAAACTTTTTCGATTTATTAATATCTACAACTTCTCGAATAATTTCGAGAGTATTAACATTAATGGAAAAAAATTGATGTTATGGTTAGTCCATTTTGACTACTCTCTGAACTATTATTTGTAACCAACAACTTGAATACAAAACCATTTCAGAACTTTTTTTGCCACTGGAAGTTTTTGAAAAAAAGAATTGGAGATAATTACCGAAAAAGCATTGCAATTTCCCATTTTTTTTTATAAAGTTTTCTGTGGAACTCGATGAATGCAGTTGATTTCATCATCACCAGCACTTTTGGAGTAATTAACCAAAATGCTCAATTTTGAGTTTTCTGTTTTGAGGAACACTCATACTATTAAAAACATCAAAAAAACTTTTTTTGTTTTTTTTTACTCTAGAAAATATAGAATGCGATTATGAAAGTCTCTTCAATGAAATATTTTTTGGCGTTTTTCATTTTTCAAGATTCTCCCGTTACCTCAATTTGAAGAAAGTTTCACAGATGAATTTTGGACTATTAAATGCCTGTCTAATTTATCTAATCAAATCTATATAATCATAAAAACTGTTCTGATATTCGATTTCTGTCGTATAGTAATGATTGTTTGTTTATTCTCCCTATTTCCATGAAAAAGTAAGGGTACAAATAATACAAATGAAATACAAATGTTTGATATATTTTTTGAGAGCCGTGGAAAAAGTCATAAAAGCATTTGATCAATATTTGTGTCTATATAAATATTTTGGTAGGGGAGAGTCGGATAATGGCTCGCGGTCGATAATACCGCTCACCACATTATCTCCCACCACATTAACTCAAAATTTGTAATTTGAACTTGTTTGCCAGATAAGTCATGTATTCGCTGACATATACAGAGTTGTAATTCAATACATCTAATGATTTCTAGAGCGTGTTTTCCTTAAGGGCGCGACTCTCCCCTATACATTTGGCGTTCTTAGAAAAAAACCTCACATTTTGTTACGGAAGAATATGCAGCTCACTCTATCAACGTTTTTTTCACCTCAGTGCATATCAAACTAGTTCGGTAAAACTCAATTCGAAAAAAGTTCATCAGTTCTGGTGTGTGAGAAAAATATTTCAGTTGGAAAAGATAAAAGTGTAAAGGCGAGAATGTAAAGTTGAGTAGATCAAGGTTTGAAATAACTTACGTCGAGGCCAATGTTGGGGAGCCGGTTTGAAGTTATAATGAGTCACAAATTCATGTTGGTTTGGAGAACAAGTGATCTCGCAGAAAAGACTGTATATATTTTTGGCACATGAAGGACATCTCTTGAATGGTGCGGATTTCTTAAAACCATCTGCCACTGCGATCACTTGGGCAGGGTCGCAACACAGATCTTTAGTTTCTGAAAGGGAATATTATCATCAGTTATTAAAGTAATATAATGGTTCAAAGAATATTTGGCTTTATTACATGGCTTCATTACATAGAGGAGAACGACGTAAAAGTTAGAACAACTCCGAATTGTGCTTTTTTCAAAATCAAAGTTTGAAAACATTTTTTTCAATAATCCGTAACTATCAAGGTCCCTTATTGGATCTTTATCATATTCTTCAGGATACAATTTGTTCGATTTTCTTATGTTTCGAAAAACAACTGTACAGTCCCCAGCAACTTCTGAAGCTTTTTGAAGCTGTGAGCTTCAGACCTTCTTTGGAGTATTGTTCACATGTATGGAGTTCCGCCCCTAAGTATACCCTGAAACTGCTGGATTCCATCCAGAAAAGAGCCATCCGCCTGATTGGAGACGCGAACATCACTTGCAACCTTGATAGTCTGGAACAACGAACACAGGTTGGAGATTTGTCTCTCTTTTATGAATACCTTCATGAGAGGTGTTCAATTGACTTGGCATATTTGATTCCACCAAAGCGGTTCGTATCAAAAATACGCGACGGACTGTGGCTGCTCATTGTTTCAAAGTTCAACTCAGTACGCCTCGAACTTCACTGATCGGGAACACTTATGAATAACTGTGTTTACATGGAGTGAACTTTCCAAATGAATGTAATCTTCCGCGATTCGAATCCAACATGAATCGCTACTGTCGCACTGGCACCGCTCTTAGAGCGCCTTTAAGATTTTTCTGTAGTGCTTGTGTTTTGTCCTTAAAAAAAATTCTAGTATGGATATCTTCCACGTATGCATCCTGTTTTGAACATTCCAGCAACCATCTCATGTTTGATGAACATTGGATTACATTAGTTTGGACTTCCATTGATACAATTGAATTGAAATCCCTGAAAGAATTTGTGAAAAATTAAAAAAGTAAGAAAATTAAAAAAGATCAGCTAAAAAAATAACAATTATTTTGAGCAAAAAAACTGAAATTAGAATGAAATAAAATACAAGCAATAACCAAAAAATTTAAAAAATGAACTATCAACACGAGATGAAAACCAAAAAAGAATAATCACAAGGAAAATTAAAAATCATAAGATTCCAAACCAAGTTACTTCACGACGTTAGAATTATTAGGATGATAACTGTACTCATTCCACAGAGATCCCACTATCTATAGGTCATTCGAGAGCTTTCACCTATCCCCTCTTCCCTCTCTCCGCTTCATCGGTTCTAGCGGAAGCTGACCGTCTGGCTGACCGTCGTGTTCAGCTTGATTAGAGGTTTCCATATCTTGCGTATCTCTACGCTAGCTTGGCTACATGCATTGTTGGACAACATATATGCGGCTTCTTTGAATTGTCTCCTAAACCAGTGTTCCTTCTTGTGAATGATTTCATCTTGAGCCCACTTGATTTTATGTTGATGAGTCCAAACATGCTCTGCTATTGCCGATTTGCTGGTTTCTCCTCGCTGTGGGTGTTTCTTGTGCTCGGCAATGCGAAGTTTCAATGGCCTCTTAGTTTCACCGATGTATGATTCTCCGCACTCGCAGGGTATTCGGTAAATGCAATTTTCGGAATCGCAATCCACGTATGGTAGCTTCTCATGGTTCTTATGGTTCACGTATGGTTCCTTCGTATCCTTTCTAACAATCCTCTTATGGTGGGAAATACTGGTTGTGGCGGCTTCTCTTCCTTGTGGAGCTCTTGCTGTCTTCTAGCTATAGCCAGTTCCACCATCACTTTGGAATAACCATTTCGTTGCAGGTCATTTTTGATATGCATAGTTACTTTTCGAAATCTTTATTTGTATTACAGAGCCCGAAAGTAGATTAGTAGAGTGTTGATGATTTCTCTCTTAATCGATTGATGGTGGTTGGACTCCTGGTTCAGATACTGTCCTGTGTGAGTGAGTTTCCGATATAAAGATGTTTTCCATTCAGTGTCGGTCCTCTTCACTGATACGTTCAAGAATGGCAATTCGTTGTGGACTTCCTTCTCTATTGTGAAAGTGAAGAAAGCACATCAACAACGTAAGTCCTCCCATCTGTATTTCGAAAACCCACTCAAACAGAACAATATCTGAACCAGGAATCCAACCACTATCAATCGACTAAGAGAGGAATCATCAAGACTCTACTAGACCGTGCTTTCGGGCTCTGTAATATAAAGGAAGGTCTCGAAAAGAAACTATGCATCATCAAAAATGATCTTCAATGGAATGGTTACTCCAAGGTGGTGTTGGAACAGGCATTAGCTAGAAAACAGCAAGAGCTCTATAAGAAGAAAAGCCGTACTTGTACTTTCGGGATTGTCGGGAAGGATAAGAAGGATTGGGTCCAAGTATAACATCAGAACCTGTTTCAGATCTGGGAACACTATCCGTATTATCTAGGATCCCGCTGCAGAATCACTACGTTCATAGCGTAGTCAACCTAACTCAGATTTTTATATACATTTGTGAAAAGGAAGTTACATTTACGACAGGGTGCTAGTCAAAATGTGGCCGCAAATATTTTTAATTAAAAAAGGAAGTGCGCTTCGAACCACACGACTGAAGTAAAACTTCTTCAGCTTCATCTATGTGTATGTATGTACTCACAATGGCTATATCAGGGAAACCAAATGATGTATAAGAAATCTGAAAACAAATTTCATAATAATTGAGTAAATATGAAATAAAAAAAATTTGGAACTAATGGAGAATCATCTTCAAAATCGGTTTTTCATTGTCAAAGATAACTGAAAAATTTCAGATGAATTTCCAGCCAGGTCAGGTGTACCACAAGGATCGAATCTAGGTCCACTTCTGTTCATAATTTTCATCAATGATTTACCGTCAGCTCTGAAATATATAGATTGTCTTCTTTTTGCTTATGATTTTTAACTCTTCAAATCAGTACAAACAGTCCGAGACTGCACATATCAGCAAAAGGATATTAATAACATTTCAGATTGGAATTTGAAGAATAAATGTAAGAGTTTTATTGTATTGTCGCATCTCAGTACTCGCTTTGCTCATCACGAGAGGATTTATCGCAATTTCAACCAACCCTCTTCCATCCAAATAATGAAAGGACTCATTTAAAACTGAATGAAATATTTATTATGATGAAAACGAAAAAATTACGCTAAGGGTAGTTAATATAATAGTTAAGAAAGATACAAAGAATCACCAAAAAACCTACATTATACTGCTACCCAGCAGGAACGACGAAAAGGAGAAGTGCTGCATTGTTAAAATGCTCTGGAACCGTTTCTGAAGAGGGATCAATGAATACTGAATGAATTTCTCAATAATTTCTGTTGATCTTGACCTCCCTCAATATTTATAAAGATTTATATGCTGAGGTTACAACTTTCCTCTAGTCAACTTACTAAGGTAAAATGCTTAATACGCATCCGTGCAACTTTGCATATTTGGAGATTGTTTTATATTTCCATATCCTGTAATTGTATTAATTTCGATGTCTATGAACTTAGAATATTTCAAAATGGAATTGTAATTACTGAGTGTTTTTTTTTAGAATATTGAAGTTGGGGTTGAAACATCTTTCAATTCATGTATTTGCTTGAATGACTTTGAATCATTTCATGATTATTTTCCATCCTTCCAAGTGATGAAGGGTTTCGTAAAGAGATTGACCCGGCTCTTACTCCATGAAGTATTTTAGTAGCTTGACTTTTTCAAATAAAAATATTGGCGGCCATTTTTTGACTGGCAATCTGTCATAAATGTATTTTCCTATTAATAAATGTATGTAAAAATTTGAGTTTGATTAACTACGCTATGAACGTAGTGATTTTGCGGCGGGATCCTCCACTAGTAGCAGCCTCACGAAAACCAGACCACTAAACGCTTTCTTTCAGGGATTTCAAATCAATTTATATCATATTAGATAATGGAAGTTCGAACTAATGAAATGCACCGCGAAACATTGTCAACCACGTTTGAACTTTGGATTATATTGATCTTTCTATTCAAAAAACTACTTCTATGGTCTTTAATTGTTTGAGAAAATGTTCTTCCTGTTTCGCCAATATGCAGTTTTGGGCAAGAGCCAGTAATTTATAACACTTCTTTCATCAATTGTAATTTGGATTATATTGTAACAATATCCAGACTTCTCAATGATAGAATAGCTTCACATATTAGTGATATAAAAGTCAATAAGAAATCGGGCTCATTAATATAACACGCTATAAAAACAGAATATGAACAAAATTACTCTTATATCAAAGTTTCACATACAGAAAAAAATAATTCCAAACGCATTCAAATTGAAAAAATTAACCTATCACCCCTAACCTAACCTTTTCTTGGAATATTCTCACACTACATCACCGTAAAACAACAATACACATGACACAAACGATTTTGTTCAAAATAGATTGATTTCCGTATCACCACATTCTGAAGAGAGCAATACAAAAAAAGTGTCGGTATTGTTTCCATATTTTAACAAGATATGCATATTAATCATCACCACTACCATTTCTGGTCTTCATAAAAGAAAACACAAACAAAACAAACGCTCCTTAGTATATAATTCTTGACTTTCTACTTAGGTATATCCATATCAACCTCCATTTTGTAGTATCACTTGAAAAAAAATCTAGTATGATATAGTAAAAAATAAAATTGAAAAACTCCCTTGTGCCAGTGACGAGGGTAATAACAATCAACGACTACCCGTGATACAAATAGAAAAAAAATTAAATGCTTACTTCCATTTTCGTCAAGCAGATGGGGACAATATTCTCTAATACCAGATATAGCCTCTTCATAATTAGGATCTGACTCATCCAATGGTTTCGGTTGTGTTGGTATATCAAAATATGGAACACAATATTGTTCCAGTCCTCTGTCATCGGTATTGCACATTCCGTAAAAACTACATTTTGCATCGGCATTCAGAGAAAAAGTGAACAACAGCCAACACAAAATGAAGAGATTTCCTAAAAAAAAGATTAATTGGTTGATAAAAGGGTCACACTTACAGACAGACAAATCCAAATGATCAATATTATTTTAGGTATTTGAAGGAAATTTTGCTTATTGATTCTCTTAGTACTTTATATATTTAAAAAAATGAAAAGAGAAATGAAAATTTCTATGTTTTTTACCACTTTTATTAAAAAAATATTTGAAAACAAAGTATGTGCTGATTATTTTTTAAGAATTGTTTTTTGTCGTTATACAGTGGTTTCATAAATAGTCATTTCTCTCCTGACTTTTGAACACAACAAGATATCAAGGTCAGACAAAATTTACGTAAAAAAGTTTCATTTTCAGTATTTTTTGAAAAGGAAGAAAATATTTTTGCGTCACTCATCACCGAGAGGTCGTACCAACTTTTTTCTTCATATTATGTACCTTGTTTGGTAGTTATCTCAATTCTCCTCAATAACTTTTATTGCTGAAATTGAATTAGCCATTCCCGAGTAATCATCTGTTTTGTGTTCATAAATCAATGATAAATATCTCAAATAAAAAAAACGTATGCGTCTCGGGACTCCCGATAGAAGTGATAACTTAAACTAATCTAAGTTGAACTATTTAATATTGACACTGCTTCACTTGAGAAAAACTTAGGGTATTACCAAAATTTCATGTATATTGATATGATCATGTAAGGAAAGGTTATTTATTAATAAAATATTCTATTGATTATATTGTGTATGTACATATACATTGTGTAGAAGGCAAATAAAATTAATTAACTATTTCGGTTACTGTACATTTAAAAAAAATCCCGAAACATGTCAAATGTGAATTATAATTTGACAATCTTCAACGCAAAAATGACACCCCTACCTTCAACCCTCTTCGAATGACAGGTACAAACCCCAATTTTTTAAAGGGAAGTATAGGTTGGTGATATATCGTTTGAAAGATCTCTTCATTCTCTATTCGAAAATGTTATCGCTTTCAAGTTTATTGCAACGATTAAGATAAAATGAATTTATGTGTTACCGAAATTCGATAAAATACACTCAAAAACTAAAATGTAATGGAAAACGAAATGAAATGTAGAATACGAAAAAAAACTATGTATGTTAATGAAATAGATGTTCAAAATGTTTACCGCGAACGTCTTGACAACGTCCTCATCTCAAATAAAACTGTCTTCTAACATTATTTAACATATCAGGCGTGACCGACCTAATCGCAAGCGTTATTCTTTTTTACATGTCATTCAAATCTTAAGGTTCAGTTTGGTACACATTGCTCTTTACACATCCCCATGAAAATAAATCTAATGATAAAAGATCAGGTGATCGCGCTGGCCTTTCAATAGATTCTCGCCTCCCTATCCACCGATTGGGAAATGGTATCGAGATATTGCTGGACATTAACTTGGAAATGTGGTGGTGCTCCATCCTGCTGAAACTATATCGTATTCACTGGAACTTTGTTCAAAATTGACTATATTCATCAATGTAATCTCCTTCGAAAGCCAAACACATTCCAACGCCGCTCTAACATTTTAATATCACTTTTGTAGAACGATTTATCTCTTGCCTCAAAATAGGCCCAAGTTTCAGCAATAACATCTTCATTCAAGCGAAACCTCTTATCCGTGAGCATATTTTGAGGTCTGCGAATAGCCAATAGTCGCTGGGAGCCAAATCTGGGGATACGGTGGGTGTGGGAGCAATTCTAAGTTCAATTCATGTAGTTTTGCCATTGTTTTCATTGACTTGTGACACGTTGCGTTGTCTTGATGAAACAGAATTTTTGAAGTGATAACTTCTTATGGGAGGGGAAACCGCTTGGTAACGTAACGCATAACGGCACCAGTATGTCTGACTTTCCTTTCTCCTCACTATAATACACAGTTCTGGACACGATTCTCTCGCCTTCGCATGACTCAGTGTTCAGCGGTCGACATATACTGTTGAGAGTGAGCATAAAACGTAAAACTATCACCGCTTTTGAAAGTGATTATAAAAAATGTAATGAAATAAGTAGAACATGATCTTCGGAAAATTACAGAATCTCCTAATGAAAGGTAAGTTCAATAATATAATACGATTTATCAATAACAAGCATTCAGCAAGTATACTACCACAGCGTCTATATTTTGAATTTCTATATATCTTTAGCGTCACTGCTTCGATATATGTACACACAAATATATACATATTATATTTACGATTGCTTAATATTGTGTATTTATTGTAACACTGAACAATAGTAAACAATATATATTCAAAACAGCATTAAATCTCTAGATTTACTTTCAAAACAAAAACACGCAACGGCTCTATGAAACGTATTTGAAAAAAGATCATTATTTAACGCCAGAAAAGTAACAATTGGCTTATGGTAGCTATAATACATGTACATACACAAAATAATCAATAGAATATTTTATTAATAAATAATTTTCCTCACATGATCATACTTCCTATTTGAAAAATTGGGGGTTGTACCTGTCATTCGACGGGGGATTGAAGGTAGGATGGTAGCATTTTTCCGTTGAAGAATGTTAAATTACAATTTAAATTTTACGTGTTTCGGGATTTTGTTAAAATATATACGGTAACCAAAATAGTGAATTTATTCCATTTGGTCTTTACACACTGTATTATAGCTACCATAAGCCAATTGTTACATTTGTAGGATGAAATAATGATACTAATGATGTATATAAAAGAATATTACGTGCTTGTTGGTAAGATTTTTATAATAATCAATAACACTTTGTGTTTTTGTTTTAAAAATGAATTTAAAGATTTAATTCTATTTTTAGAATATATTGTTTACGATTATTCAGTATTCCAATGAATACAAAATATTATGTAATCGTAAGAGTAATATGTATATATGTGATGCTGAAGATATTTAGAACTTTGAAATATAGACGTTGCGTTGCGGCATTTGACTTGTTGTTATTGATAAATTGTATTATATTATATTTCCAAATTAACATTTCGTTAGGAGATTCCTGTAATGTTCCGAAGCGGTGATAGTTTTATGTTATATGCTCGCTGTCAACAGTATATGTCGACCACACACTCAACACTGAGTCTTGCGAAGATAGTCGGGAAAATCATTTGTGCGAGATACGGCTAGCGCTGTATGTAAGAGTGAGGAGAATGAGAAGCCAGACATACTGGCGCCGTTATGCGTTACGTTACCAAGCGGTTTACCCTGCCATAAGATTTTATTACTTGAAAAAAACGTTAAAAATGTTTACCCTCCACTCATTGACGATACTGAGATCTGTTTACAAATCTATTCACTACATTCCGAAATGTTTCTGGGGTAATTTCATTGCACGCACCTCGTTTTTTATCCACGAGTTCTGAACTGAATTGCAATTGTGTATTGTACAACATATCTAATGATAGTTGAGTCTTCTGAGTGGCCACGTCTATCTGTCTACCGAATTGATGTTATGTTTCAGCAAGATTATGATATGCTGGTTGAAAATTGGTTGGATGACAATTATCGGAAAGGAGTGTATAGGTAAATGTAGTCCCTTAGAATGAGTCGATATATCACCTGATCTTGAGTATACGCTGTCCGTTCAAAAACATTTTTCCAAAAAATATTTATTCATTCATCAATTTCTATTTTGTCGTCTTCGAAGTAGTCCCCTCAGATGTAATACAGTTTTGCCAGCGGTTTTTCTCATCTTGAATCAGTTCTGATATCCGCTTTTTGGTTTGTCCTTGAGCTTTCTCAGCGATTCGGATTTTATCTCATCAATCATCGCAAAACGCCGTTCTTCCATGGATCCCTTCAATCTTGAGAACAGAAAAATTTCGCAGGGGGGCAAGTCTGGTGAATACGACGGCTGAGGCATGTTGGCCAAAAAATTACGAACAGGCAATGGAGAGTGAGCACGTGCGTTATCATGATGCAAAAGCCATGAATTGTTCCGTCACAAGCGGCGCATAACTTCAAGATAATACTTCTTATTGACCGCACGACCATGTGGCGAGAACTGATGCACTACGGCACGGTAATCGAAGAAATTGGTGAGCAAAACCTTGGCATTTGATCGAATTTGGCGTGCTTTCTTCGGTCTTGTCTCTCGTGGGCTCTTCCATTGGTACGATTGGACTTAGGTTTCGATGTCATAACCATATATCCATTATTCGTCACCATAAAATATTTATTTTTCATTTAAGATAAAAAAATTGTTTGTCAAAAAAATCTCGAAATCTAGCTACTTTAACGTCATCTAGCATTCCAGTAATGAAGTTCCAACCCTTTGTACGAGACAAGACACCGGTGTTACCCTACGCTCCGGGGGATATTGAATCTGTTGTGGGGAACCAGAAGTGTCGAATTTATTGGAACTATTCGTTTCCCACCCTCAGGCTCATGCAAGCTAATAAGCATGATGTAGTCTTTCTAGACCACCAGAGTGAAACGATATTTGTTGTGGAGTTTTCAGCTCCTGGTGAGACGAATATCGTCAGAAAAGAGGCGGAAAAACGGATAAAATATCAAGATTTTCTCTTGGAACCCCGCAGACTCTATCCAGTCAAGATGGTTGTTCTGATTATTGGAGTCCTTGGTGGAATGATGTCCACTCTACTCTCGAATCTTAAAATCATACCGGCTTGCCGCACTAAGACAGAAATCTTAGCCGCACAGATGCAGAAGGCTGTCATTCTTGGCTCACTGTGCTTGTTCAGGGCACATGATTCTCGGACACAATGATCACTTACCCCACGGTGTGGGGAGTGGGTTTCCGGGGGTGCCACAGTTATACCCTCGAGTATTTCGGAGCGCAACGAATAATGGCAATAGCGAGATGCAGAAAAGAAGGGGACTGAGGGAATCACCCTGAAATACACCCCTTCTGAAAGTGACCCACCTTGTTTGGACTCTTGCGTGACACGATGTTATGGTGAAGCGAGTTTGCCAAAGTGGTATCAGTTGTTCAATGCATCTCACTATTTTGTCCGGTACCGCAAGGCATCTGAGCAAATGCAAGATGAGCTCATGCGAAATTGTATCAAATGCCTTACGGTAATCGATCCAGGCCTTAGAGAGGTTACGATTATATAGTATCGAGTCCTGCGTCCTGTTTACATCCAGCGACTCCTCTCTTCGATAGCCACTGTTAGTGCGGGAAATCCTATATTGGTGAAACTAAGAGGCCATTGAATGTTCGCATTGCCGAGCACAAGAAACACACACAGCGAGGAGAAACCAGCAAATCAGGAATACCAGACCATGTTTGGACCCATCAACACAACATCGGGTGGTCCCAAGCTGAGATCTTGCACAGAGAGGAACATTGGTTTAGGAGAAAATTCAAGAAAGCCGCATACATGTTGTCTAACAACGTATTCAGCCAAGCCAGCGTAGAAAAACACAACATATGGAAACCCATCATCAAGCGAAAAATGGCCAACTCCCGCCAAAACGGTCATCTCCCACGGATCCAGTGAAGCGGAAAATGGAAAGCGGGGATAAGTGAAAGTACTCGAACGACCTATAAATAGTCATCTCTCAGAGGAATCAGTCAAGTCATCACCCGAAGACGATTGTAGATACTAACAATCGAAACGTCGTGAACTGACGTGACTTGAAATCTCTCCACTTCTTATTTTTATTTTCTTTTTTCATTTCTTTATTTTTATTTTTTTTATTTATTCAATTGTTCTATTTTTGCTTGTATTTTATTTCACTATTATTTTATTTCAGGTTTATTTTGGTTAATATTCATTTTCAATTCTTCTTTTTTAGTTGTTTCAGGGATTTCAAATCATTTTATATAGTAGACAATGGAAGTCCGAACTAGTGAAATTGATGCATTTCATTTTCTTTCAATATGTTAACTATCGATGTATGGCTAGCATTGAATGAAGTGGATGCTTGTCTACTAAATATATGTGGGTTTTCCTCAAATTCAAGCATCACATCTAATTTTTCGTTCATCACTCATTGCATTGGCAGCTGCTTTATTTATCTGCACAACATGACCAAGCTCGTGTATCTGCTCCTCTATTTTGCTTATTGTTCCTTGAGATATGGGTTGTAAATTAGGAAATTTCTCATGAAATAGGTCAGCTACTTCCTGTTGTGTTCGGGTTTTATCTTCGTAACCAATCATTTGTGAAACTGTTATTCTATGCATTTCTGTTAATTTAACCATTTGTCAGACTTGAAGTTGATGAATTTCAAACTTAAATTAAAATACTGACAACTAATGTCGTAACATACAAAACAAGTTGATAAGGCATTGTAAACTAACGTTGCCACGGAAATCATTTACAATTTTTTTAAGGATGCCATCTGAAAAGAACATTGCTATGGTTTTTGCTTACTTTCTTATTATCATTCCTCAACATGAAATGAGTTTTGAGTATATTGCAATAACTTTTAGGTGTGTTTTATCGAATTTCGGTAACCACATGATTTTAATTAGTTTTATCTTAATTGTTATAATGAACTTGAAAGCGATAACACTTTTGAATAGAGAATGAAGAGACCTTTCAAACGATATATCACAAACCTATACTTCCCATTTAAAAAATTGGGGTTTGTACCTGTCATTCGAAGGGGGTTAAAAAAATGTCAAATTAAAATTTACATTTAACGTGTTTCGGGATTATTTTTTTAAATGTACAGTAACCGAAATAATAAATTAATTACATTTGGTTTTCACACACTGTATATGTACATACACAAAATAATCAATAGAATATATTATTAAAAAATAATTTTCCTCACATGATCATACTTCTTATTTGAAAAATTGGGGGTTGTACCTGTCATTCGACGGGGGATTGAAGGTAGGATGGTAGCATTTTTCCGTTGAAGAATGTTAAATTACAATTTAAATTTTACGTGTTTCGGGATTTTGTTAAAATATATACGGTAACCGAAATAGTGAATTTATTCCATTTGGTCTTTACACACTGTATTATAGCTACCATAAGCCAATTGTTACATTTTTAGGATGAAATAATGATACTAATGATGTATATAAAAGAATATTACGTGCTTGTTGGTAAGATTTTTATAATAATCAATAACACTTTGTGTTTTTGTNCTCTTCGAACTCCGCAGACTCTATCCAGATCACTCTGTCAAGATGGTTGTTCTGATTATTGGAGTCCTTGGTGGAATGATGTCCACTCTACTCTCGAATCTTAAAATCATACCGGCTTGCCGCACTAAGGCAAAAATCTTAGCCGCACAGATGCAGAAGGCTATCATTCTTGGCTCACTGCGCTTGCTCAGGGCACATGATTCTCGGACACAATGATCACTTACCCCACGGTGTGGGAAGTGGGTTTCCGGGGGTGCCACAGTTATACCCTCGAGTATTTCGGAGCGCAACGGATAATGGCAATAGCGAGATGCAGAAGAGAAGGGGACTGAGGGAATCACCCTGAAATACACCCCTTCTGAAAGTGACCCACTTTGTTTGGACTCTTGCTTGACCAGATGTTATGGTGAAGCGAGTTCGCCAGAGTGGTATCAGTTGTTCAATGCATCTCACTATTTTGTCGGGTACCGCAAGGCATCTGAGCAAATGCAAGATGAGCTCATGCGAAATTGTATCAAATGCCTGCGTCCTGTTTACATCCAGCGACTCCTCTCTTCGACCCTCTCTGCTCATATATCCGTTCGAACACTCGGTCAACTGCGGTGAGTATTTGTGTGTACAATATGCTTGAAAACAACTTATAACACGAATTCAAGCATGTTATCATTCATTATTATTATTATAACATAGGATACTTTTCATTGAAGAAAACAATTATTTTTAATGTAGGTTTATGTTTATGTTTATGTATGTTTCTCAAAAAATCTCAAAATCTAGCTACTTTAACGTCATCTGTCATTCCAGTAATGAAGTTCCAACCCTTTGTACCGTAATACCGTCGCACTGTATTATTCATAGTCACGACATCCCTACTAATATTATAAATGCGAATGTAAGTTTGTTTGCTACGGTTTCACGCGAAAACTACTCAACTGATCATCATGATATTTTGTACATATGTTCTTGGAGGTATAAGTACCGTAATACCTCCGCACTGTATTATTCACAGTCACGACAATGTCCAATTCAATCCGATCCAATTGACTATAATTTCGGCTGTTTGGAATTTTTCTATATTTATTGTTATTTTCTTCTGTCACCCGCGAGCGAAGCCGCGGGAAAAAGCTAGTGTAGGTATATATTACTCAGAATCAAATGCAATATGGTTAGTTTTGAAAATGGTGTAATGACCGAAACTAGTCAATAAATATAGAACTATCGTGGAAAATAGACAAACGTGTGTTTTTTAGTGTATCCTCAGTGATATTCACATCTTTGAAGAGTTTTCATTAAAGTGAAGCACTTTTTCTCGAAAAATAAAATCTCTCCGGAAGAAATACTTTCTTTTCGATTCAAACAGGTTTATATTTGAGGTGTAGTGAGATAAGTATTTTTTCGTCATTAGTTAATAAATGCAGATCTAAAAGTCAAAATTTCGAGATTTAAATTGAAATTACGAATTACAATTTGAAGTCGAATCTTGTCGATTTGAATTCAAAATTTCAAGGTTAGAATCGAAATGTCGACTTGAAGTCATAATTATTTGAGAAACTGAAAATCAATATATGCCCCTCATACGTTTCCGTATATTATTCCATTCAGTGATATTCAAATTTGTACCTCGATATAACGGCCAAATGTCAGCGATATTCAATACGATCTCAATTTAAACTACAGTGTTTGTTTGGGGCTCGAACTGGAAAAATATTTAGGGAGCGAGCGAGGTGTAATAATAAACTAGTCTCTAATACAAAAAAGTATGAAGCATTGACTTCTCTACAAAACATGTCTTTCAAAGAAATTTGGGATACAATAATACTCACTATTTATAACTAGCATCCTGATAACTTAACTAAACGAAATCAACGTTACCTACACATCACACATTCCGGGGATCAATTAAAAGCTAATCGGTTGTTCTCTTGATTTATCAAATCTGATAATATAATTGTTACTCATTCAATTCTTATCGATATCATAGAACACCTGTGTATACCAGTCACAGCTGTGATAAAATTGATACATTGAAGTATTCAAACAAAACGGAAGATGTGTCTCAATATCTAGACATAGAAATCACATCACTTACTGGGCGTCTTTTATGCACGCGATTTTTGTCGTTTGTCGCGTTGCGTCAAAAATCGTCGAATTGAAATGAAATGAAAATGGCACTTTTGTTCAAGCGTTTGTTTTGGCGTGTCAGATTTAAATGGATGTGTCGTTATACAGTTGTTGTACAGTGTGTCTCACTTCTCATGAAAACACCCCCGTATCTTCCGTAATATTCAAGGTAGAACGATGAAACTCTCTGGACTGATGGGAATGCTCAAAATGCACGTACCACCTGAATAGGGTTGGCCAAAATGATATACACTGTTCGCCACTCGCGATGGAACACCCCATTTTTATGGTAAAACATATTAGGGGGCAAAATAGGCTCAAAATTCCTTCAGATTCGTGATCAGGACTACCAACTCACTACGAATACACTTTTTTCTTGAAAAAATTTCAGTCCTGAAAAATACGAATTTGTCTCACTTCCTATGGAAACACCCCCGTATCTTCCGTAATATTCGAGGTAGAACGATAAAACTCTCAGGACAGATGGAAATGCTCAAAATGCACCTACCACCTGAA